AAATAAAACATAATGTTTCGTGGCTCTAATAAAGTTAATTAAATGTTGTTCCATTTTACATAAATTTTTCGATAACATTAATTGACTTACACCATTTTTAAGTAATTTATGAACCATAAAAGATAAAAATCTATGTAATACACATGTTTTCTTCAGCAAAGTATTTCACTGATGTATAAATGCATGTTCTTTAAACTCGATACATATTTTTCCTTCTTTCCAGCAATTTGTCTGCATAATCAGGATATAAATCTTGAGTCTTCGGTAATTTATTATGTGATCTAGATGTAACAACAATTTCATAAACATTGTTGCTGTTTTTTAACAAAACATTATGATAAATTATAATGGGAATATTATTCATCTCGACTGTACTACGAGTGTGTATAGGTTGTGAGAGTGTAGCAGCTGATATTGTTTTTAAGAGATGCAAATCTATACATATAATAAATCTGTATAGAGGTCAATTCTGTACATGAAATATATTTTCAAAATAACTATCAGGGGGTGATAAGTGATCGATACTGATGCCAAAAATGCAATCAGTAAAATTGTTGTCTGTCTGTCTGTCTGTCCGTCTGTATGTTCCTTATAGAAACAAAAACTACTAGACGGATTTTAACGAAACTTGGTACAATTATTCTCCGTACTCCTGGGCAGGTTATAGTATACTTAGGAATTCCCACGGGAACGGGAATTTGCGGGAAAATCCTTTTGTATGAAAAAGCTAAACCGCTTAAGTTAGACGCTTAAAATTTGGCATGCAGGTACCTTAGTAAACTTAAAGCTTAGTTACAACAGGATATTGCAAAATTCCTACGGGAACGGGAGTTAGCGGGAAAAAACATTTGTATGAAAAAATCTAAACCGCGTAAGATAGATGAAGGGGGTAAAACGGGATCCACGCGTACGAAGTCGCGGGCGGCCGCTAGTGTTCTAATAAATTTCAAATCAAGCAATGATTCATCAATGTAATATACGGTTGGCTAGGTACAGTTGTTATCAAAAGAACCACAAAATGACACATTTCCACAAATTGATTTCAACCTTAAATTACTATCTTTAATTTTAAACAATTACGAAAATTCATTGGGAAAAATTGGTTAATATTAATACCTTTTGGTCCAAATATCGAGCACCTCGAGGGGTTTTAATTATTTATTATGACATGCCTAAATTCTACGGTTATTTTATAGATATCCAACAATTTGTGACAAGTTTTGGAAATCTTCATCATTCATAGCATTTTCGAAATGCGTAGCTGCGTGTGAATTATTTTTTATTCAAAATACTTTTTCTAAATATTATGATTTCAAATGCCAATATTCGTGATTTAAAGTGACAGTCCTCATGAGACGTAGCAATAGGTCATGAACTGCATTGCACTCTACTGAACATAGGTACAGTAACGTGCAAAAACTATCATGACAATGATTTATTTTAATTAACCAGTAGCTGTTTTGTTCGTCATATGCTAATATTCATGTTTTTACAAATGTATTGCTTATAACACCTACCCAGTGTTTCCCATATTTCTTTACGGTGCTGAGACGTTTTCCACAAGGCCTTTGTCCAGCAGTGGACGTCATTTGGCTTAAACGACGACGACGATGGCTGAGACGTGGACTCAGAGAAAGTGTGAAGAAGAAAATAGACGCTCTAGAGATGTGGTGCTGGAGAAGGATGCTTGGCATAACCTGAACACAGTTCCGAACCAACGTCTCGATCATCCAAGAGCTTGATGTCAAACAGCGTCTTTCTTCCATCGTCCAAAGTCGTATTCTCACTTTCCTTGGCCATGGACGTGGAGACGTCGCTTATGTTGAACGACTTGTCGTGCAGGGGAAGGTTGAGGGCACAAGTGCGCGCGGCAGGTCGCCTATGCGCTGGACTGACCAGGTCAAAAGCGCACTCAATGGTCCACTCCACGAGTGCACAAGAAAAGCTGCGATGCGGGAGGAATGGCGACGGATTGTGGGGCTTGCCACCGGACCTGGTGTGACGACCACGACCACACTGGCAAGAGTGTAGCGACGAAGAAGAAGAAGAACTAATGTTTTAAACATAAAATTAATTTATTCGTCATTCTTTCAAAATATAAAACATAATTGAATGATCAAACGAACTTACCAAGTGAAGTTCGATCTAAATTATCCTGTTTTCGCCGAAGAGATTTATTTTACCATGTAGTAGTCCCCCTGTACGACAACCCAATCCNCGCGGGCGAAACCGCGGGCGGAAAGCTAGTATTCAAATATTCGTTCTAAATTTCAAGATTCGATCACACAATATTACTTTTGTTAAAAATTTTGTTGCTTACTTATGATAACGCCTTCCCAAACGATCTGGTCATCGCAGCGTGGGGATTGTAGGCAAAATTCTACATTTGCCTCTAGTAAATTAAAGAGGTTCGTGCTCCTTTAGTAAATAATAAAATGACCTAGGCTAGACCTACGATCTAGGTCTAGCTTAGGTCTGACATAATATTATGCAACTGCCAACTCGCCGGATAGACGTCATCACAAAGGCCACTGAGTCCACCATGGTCCAGTATACTCGCGACGCTTCTAACCGTCAGAAATGGAAGCACATCGCCAGGAGAGCTACCCTCGGAGATGAAATTAGGTACCCCACCATGTACCTCGTCAGCGCAACCACGAACGACCACTCTGACATGAGTGCCCGACTAAGAAGAAGAATATGCAACTCTAGCTTTTGAAACACACGCTTCCACGAAACTTAAACGGTGTGTTCTCTTTTCGTTTGCACCACTCTCGCGACTCACGCGCAGCGTCATGTCAACAATACGAACGTTGCGCTTGCTCAGGAAGTGTGATCTTGTCATTCCTGTTCATTCTCAAACGAAGCGTTCGTTCTTACTTCTTACGTCATAATTCTCTATTGTTTCGTTCTCCTTGTTAGGAGAAAAAGTATTGGAACAATTTATAATTGGCTCTTCCGTTCAGTTTTACTATTCTGTTAATTAATGAAAATTGGAACGTTTGATTGTAGTTTACGATATGAATACTTTACATTAATATTTACGACAAATGCACTTCATTCTCAATTATTGAAAATAATACAAATGTTTTAGTTCCTAAATCGACTGTGGTATTTAAAAATATTTATTTATTTATTTGTTTGTTATTTTTATCGTAATCGTTCTATTTACAAACAGTAGATTTCTATTTTTTTCGTTATTGCTGGAAGTTTACAAAATTATTTTGTCAAATAAATTTTGTGCCAGAATATACAAGATCCTAGACATAAGACTTCATAATTACATACTAATTTAAATTGTAAATTGTGTTATAAATAAATATGTTATACGAACAGAATCATATTTTGTAAATATTATAATTATTTAAAATATCTGCCAACAGTGTTACCTCACTATTCACATTGAAATGAGGTCGTCAGTTTGTCACCACATAACATTGTAGTGCAGTGAAACACCAAAACAAATAAATTGTGTTTCTGTTTACGTACAATTTTTACCGGAAAAAAATGTTTTTGGTCAATTAACTAAGTAATTTACAACGCAATAATTTTCCCGTACCTACCATACCGTAGTTAGTATTATTAACATTTCATAATTTATAACACGATAAAAGAACTTTACTTTTTTAATGAAGATGATTTGAAGACGGACGGCAGTGGACGTCCTATGGCTGAAAATATGATGATGAATTCAAGAAACTTTCAAAATTGCAAAAAGAGACCCTAAAGATTGCACCTCCTTCTAAAAAAATCACAGTCAGGTGCAGATTAACACAGAACAATAACACAACTAATCATCAATGAATATGACGTGTGTTGTACAGTCGACGGCGCATTACCAGACTACAATTGGAATGATGACTGGGCAATGAAATCGAAATTCTATTTAGTCCGTGAGACAGATAATAAAAAAATATTGGACACATATTTTCTAATTTTTTTCATAACCGAATCATTACAGTATTATAGTGTAAAGTGACATGACACGCGACATATTTTCAACTTGATGTAGCACTGTTATTATTTAATTATGAAATAACATAAAAAATACGAGTCTAATATTTTCTAATTATCTATCTGACGAAATAATAATAGAAATTTTGTTGTCTAGTCTATTTTTTGTTGCAAAGTAACACATATTACAATGACCAAAGATGCCACAGTGTTTACCTTGGCGTGCTGTACCTGCCTACTCACCCACTGACAGTCAATGAACGGCTCGTCATCAATTAGCAGTAAGTCAAGGTTGGCAATGAAAGCGAAAAGAAAGCGCGATCAGTAACTTGAACCGATGTTCCTGACTTAGCTGGAATACGATACACAAAGATTTCGAATTCGAGAAACGGAATAAATATAACTTGAGTAGGATAATCACGTTCGTTAATTATTGCATCATCATCATCAGGTCATTTGGTCTACACATTTATCAGAGCAAATGAAGAATTTGCTTACACTCCCAACACTGGCCAGACGGGTTGGGTAGATGTTCGCATATTGTCACTTTATCACCTTTTTAACGATTTCCACCCGAAGAGTGGTAATGACGTACTCTACATTGTTACTTTAGATAGTATTTTAAATCAGATTTACTTTAGGCATGATCTTAGAAAGCCTGCATTTTAGACTGAAGCTACACGTGGACTTGCAGCCCGTGTCAAAATAGTTGAAGTCATAGGCAGTTGGCCTGACAGCAAGCAAGGCAGCTGGCCTACATTTTGGCTGTCTCAAGTATAATCTACGTTTTGTTCTTAGTTTTTTTTTATCCTGAAACGAGGAAGCTCTTGGCCTGTATCTCACCTGGGTAAGTGATGATCAGGCCGAAGGTGGAAGCGAGCTTCACCCGGAATCCTCAACCACGGAGGAACTGGCTATCTTACCTCTAACTGCCGGAACACAACAACAGTTCCTCTGTAATTGAGGATTCTGGACTTAGCTTCCAATTTCAGTCTGATCATCCCTTTCCAAGAGCTGCCTCTTTATGAATATAAGAAATAGCTTACATAATAGTCAACGTGTTCGTCCTCAGATATGTGGTGGTGGTCGAAGCCGAGGCGCGGCTGGACGTGCAGCGTAGGCGCCGCCTGCGCATCTGACGGCCGGTATAGCGTGAAGAGACGCGCGTGCGCACACGCTGCTAGGGCCAGGCAGACCAGCACCAACTGGAAAAGGTAAAGGGTATTGTTAGTAATAATAATAAAAGCATTCATTTCTTTCTTTCACAATCCAATGTTAGAGTAAAACACAAATTGATATGTACTATTTGAACAGGGTAAGATTGTGAGAGAACTGGAGTCTGAACTAGCCAAGAACCCTTTACTACAGAGCGCCAGCCTAGTGTTCTCTCTCGGTAATAGCCGGATAATAGAAGAAAATAATGTTTATAGAAAATTCATGACGCCTGCTCACGTCCAAACGACGGATAACTCTCTTTGCTATACACAATTTTTTGAATCTCAGGTAACAATTCCGACTGTTTAATCAGGTTATTTTTGGTCTCCACTAGACAAGCTGGAGACCTGTAGGCCTAAGATGCGCGCCGCGATAAGCGATTATCACTCCATTTTAACGATTTTGCCCATACATTTTGAGGTCGATAAAAGTTATCGCGCATCATAGGCCTACTGGTGTTCACGTTTATCCCTTTGCTTTTAAAAAAAAATGAGAATAGTGGCAGTGAACCTATCTAACTCTGGCGAAAGCAATTTTCAGGTGAGTATGATATTGAAGGCTAGGAGAAATTACGTAGATATCCAGGGATAAACACAAAATATTTATGTAACTATTCCTTGTATGTAGATAATACGATTTGCAATTTCAATGAATATATAATAAAGTTTAAAAAATCCCAACCGAAAAAACAGCGCAAATGTAAAGCTTCTAAAAAAATTCGTTTAACTCATTACAACAATAAACATCGTATACAAACTGAAGACCTAGTTTATAATCAACAAAAACAATCGACTATTTATCATTATTATTTATTCCTACCGTATTAATGTTAATACTGTTTTATTAACTAAAAAAAATATATATGTATGCTAATTTCACGAGTTACAAAAATTGAATTAATCTAATGTATTCCATCATGCAAAATTGTTCACGTGCCAGTAGACAAATAGGCCTTCCTGCAACGATAGTACTTAATGATACGTCATGCAAATGACTGCTTTCGATATTAAAAACGACAGGGAACCATTTTCAAGTAGGAAGGAAGCCAAATGTAGCCACGTTACATCGTTCGGCTGCTCTATTTCGAATAACCATTCAGCCAGAAAAAAGGCACTAAATGGATTACGTAAATCGTTATTTATAATTTGTAATTGCTAAAACATAATTGAAGGAAACATGACGAGATTGTTATGTGTAGGCATTAAATAATAACAAACAATCAGATGCAATCGGTCGTATTATGTAAAGTCAATGTAATATCTCATGTTTACAGCGATTTAATGTTTCAAGACAAAATCTTTAACGTGTTGGCCAGATAGGTAGTTTAATTAGACTTATTGTCAGACACGATTGTAATTTACAGGTTTTAAGGCAGTGTTTATCTTTCAAAAGTACCTCTTTCAAATAAAACTATAAGGCCCAGAACAGACGGTGAAACGCAACTGCAACGAAACTGCAACTGCTAGTTACTCTTGAGTTGCATCTAAGTTTCTGCCATAGCGTCCGTTGAGACCACACATGACGCGACCAGTTTGAAACTTTCTATTTCAGTTTCATTCATCTGAATCATCACAAAGTTGCAGTTTCGTTGCAGTTGCGTTTCACCGTCTGTTCTGGGCCTAAATGCTATCCACCGCTGAACATACAAATAGTGTAATGTTTTGGAGAGCTTATGTTCTAAGTAGGTAGCATTAGATAGGGATCGTCAGCAGTAGATCCATTTCCGTTTTTCGCATTTGTAGTTGTATCTTTATTTAAACGAAAGAGATTGATAGTAGATCGGAAAAAACGAAAACTTCGTTAGGGAGCAGCACCTATTACTTTAATGATGAAAGAACGATATAAAACTGCTACTCTATCGTCTTTTTATGAAATATGTGGTATTTTGTGTGTTTTAATTAATTACGTAAATCATTCTCATAAATTGTACATAGGACTTAATAACATGTCCTCCAGGCCAGGGGACGAATATTCTGAAAGCCAAACTGATTTGCAATTTACAACTGGGAAACTCTTAATTCACCAGCAATATAATCTTAATGATTAGCGTTTCATGATTATAAGTAAAAAAATACATGTAGTTATGTAGAGTCATATAAAAAAAGTATCACAACTTCGACAACTTGTAGTTACGTATCACAAACTGTTAAAAGTGCGTATGTGCAAAAAACAAATTAACAACACATTTTTTGCATTTTTGAGAACACGCGTTCATTAGAGAGTGCAAAGCGTTTTTCGCTCGCATTTAGCATAATAATATTATGACTGGAACAATGTATCAATTATCTGAGTAATCAATGGATCTTCGGTGGAGAACAAAAGGTGCTTTTTTCAATATTTCCCAGGCTTTCAATGGAATAGTTACGTGGAGCATTTTCTTGTGTGTTACGACTGCAGTTCAAGTTACCACACAGGTAAACTTTTGTTTTCACTTGTAATAATGCTGTAATATGCCCGTGGACATTAACATTAGCCAAACAAGTGTAGTCTTGTGATAATACTAATAATCGATTGTTAGGTAAATGTTTTTGATTTTAGTGGGAAATTAAAGTTGCTTACAAGTTGTTTACATTTTAAATTGCAATATGTAATTAAAATATGCTTTTTAGGGTGGGTCGCAGTTAAACCAATTCCAAACAAAACAGTTATTTAAAGTCCCTAAAGCCACCCAAAGTTAATTTGAGGAAAATTAATGAAAACTTAAAGGAAAACCTTTATGTAAGAATATAAGAGAAAATAAATACTTTACATGGTAGCTTATACATACTACCTACATAACACGCACTACACACTTAAATATGGACATGAACCTTAAACTTTTCAGGTAGGTTCAGTCAAAATTACTTGTAATACTTTTCTTAACTTTTAAAACTTATTTAACAGTATTCCAATGAATTGGCAAATGAATTAAACAAAAATGTCAATTAGTCTGCTTCCTGCTCAAGAATATCGGCTGTTGGTTTTTATCGGTATAAAATAAGATTACTAGTTAGTAGAACAAAATATAGAAAAATGAAAATCGTTTTCCAAATTAGTTTATATTCAAAATTCCTATCCTTCCTTCCTTCCTTTCTATAAAATAGTATTATCAAATCATCCATTAATCTTATCTCCAATATCAACCTCATTTAAAGGATAAATACTAAAAACTAATATTATTAGGTTTATAACCAATACTTATTAAAAATAACTTTATTCTAATTACTATATTTTTTTTAATTAATATTAATGGCAATCTAAAAACTCTGAAAACGTACCTTTAACGCCATTTTTCCTCTATTTTATGGCAACACTGACTCTAAAAAGACACCAACACACCACTACTGAACAGCGGGAAGCGAAATGGCCAGGTCAATTGCTCTAACTCGAATGTACCGAGAGAAATGTGCACACAACTTATATGTGTGCCTTATAAGTGGGGCTCGGCCCGAGAAAAAGAAAAATGAACTTCACAATGCGTTGTTTTAGGGCAGCTTCAATGCAGTTGACGTATTTGCCATGGAGGGAAGTCGAACCTTAACTTCGACCTCCTCCTATGTTCTTCTGATTAATTTCGTTGCGGGTCCAATGACAGTTTAACTTTTCCCGGGACAAACTTGACCTTCACTGGTTGGGTTTTATTGGCGGTCAAGCTGTAGATCCTGGCTACACAGGAGTTGCAGCGGTGGGAACGAGAGGTGGGAATAGTCTCGAACCTATTTGTCAGTGATAAGTGCAATTTGAAGTTATCCTGAACTGATTTTACAAAAGGAAAAGCACTAAGGTTGAGTTGCACCACCTAACACTAACAGTAAGTTTAACGATAATCGGTGTTTTTGTATGAAGTTTGACAGATTTCTGACGTTTGTTAAAGTTAAAGTAAGATGGTAATAAACTAAATAATTACTGCTAAAAATTTTGGATAATGACTTTAATGAGGCTTAAAAGTTTGACAGATTTCTGACGTTTGTTAAAGTTAAAGTAAGATGGTAATAAACTAAATAATTACTGCTAAAAATTTTGGATAATGACTTTAATGAGGCTTAAAAGTTTATCCCCCTTTATTAATAAAAGTTACACCATAGTTGAACCGTTTTAAAGTGACGTTTAGTATCGAAATGTCACTTTCAAACAGTATTCAAATAGGGTGTAACTTTTTAATAAATGGGTAGGTATGTGAATATTGCAGTTTAATGTGTTGGAACTTGGAATACACAGTTGATTTTTTTAATTAAAAATACATACCTATATACCTTCATGAAAAACCATGGTATTCATCGATATTCAAATTGTCACTATTGTAGGTATGTACTTTTAATCAAATGTTTACATTCAGTTTAATTGAAAGGATTTTTGGGTGCAAAAGTACGTCATGCATACGAAAAACTAATAGTCGTTTTTCGTAGTAGTTAGTCTATTTTAATACATTATAATTTAACCACAGCATGACAAGTAATGTATAACCTATATGTAGCTCTATAATAAGGTATTGCAATGTATATTACGTGTTAATTTTTATTGTTTATTATGAACGAAGTACCCACGTGATTTATTTTACGTTCACAATTATCTTACAGCAATTACTGGACTACTTACGGCCAAATTAGCCATTAAAAACGTGTTCTATATTAACGTAACAGAAAAATCATAGTGCAAAGTAACTCTATCGGTTATTACGTTATAATCGTCAGATTATATCATTAGGTGCGTCTGTTGTTTATAGAAGTACGGCCCAGCATGCAATATTCAAACGTTAGTGCGTGAATCGATGCGAATACTGATATTGAGCCAAGGCACACGATGCGTTGCAGCACCGCACCGCGACCGCAAAGATATCGCCGCACCGCTTGTGTGCGCCGGCCACGACGTAGATATGTCACTTTGAACATCCCCCAAATAGCACCTGTAGCACTTAGAGCTATAGCCCCTATCGATATAAAAATAAATTTATTTCCACGAAAAGCTCCTACCCAAAATACCGATAGGTGCTCTAAGTGGAATAGATCAGGTGCTATTCGTGCACGTGCTATTTGGGCGGGTGCTCAAAATGAAATACGTCCCGGCCACAGATATTTCTATGTAAGACGACACAAACGACACCGCTCTGGAGTCGCATCGCTGCCGCAACGCATCGTGTGCTTTGGCTCTAAATGCGTGAATTGATGCGAATACTGATTTACGATAACTACTCTCATCACCACTTACTAAACTACTTCTAGATTCGGTCACATAATCTTACTTTTTCTTTAATTTTTTTTTTTTTTACAGTTTTACATATCCGATATTTTGCAATCCACTGCTAAAAATTAGACATAATAAAATGACTTGCCAACTAAGGCTGGGTTGCACCATCTTACTTTAACTTAAATAAACGTCAAAAATCTGTCAAACTCCATACAAGAAGCACCGGTTATCGTTACAGTTACCGTTAAAGTTTGGTGGTGCAACTCAGCCTAAGTGTTAACTAATGCACACATAACCTGTAACACAGATTCACTTAGCAAGATTTGAGAGTTCTTTGTGACTTATTAAGCTCTACATTTTTTTTAAATAAAACTTTAGTAATTTTAGGGAGGCAGCTACGCTGTCTTGTCAACGTATTATTTTTTTCTGCTATTTTTTTCATCAGAATCACCCATTTCGGGATCGGATTGTGTAAAAAAAACCAATGTCTAAAAAATATTGTATTGAGGAGGATCTTAATACTAGCTACTATTTACGTTTTCGAACATTGGTAGCTGAACAAATTTTCCAAAACAAATAATGTTACGCATTATAAGCAATTGCAATGCTCTTCGAAAATTCAATGCAGGTCGCTAAAAGAACGTTGTTCTTTATTTTGTCAAATAATGATATTCGTAAATCAAGACATTAATTAATGTATTATCATATTAATTAAAAAATATAGAGTTGTATTCTTATCGTCACAATGTAAAGATAACAAAGAAAGTATTTACGAGAAATAAAGTCAAATAAAGTAGTGATGTGAATAATAACAATGATGATGAATTAAAAAGGATACACAGACTTAACAAGATATTACAAAATGTAAAACGAATAAAAACTTAAATAATATTTCAAATAAAAAAACTTTCAGTGATTTACGAGACGGTATATCCATTCATACATCTATTACTTGCCGTGTTTAACAGTTAAAAAACTTTACATTCGAAGCAGAAATACTCGTAAACAAGTCTAATTTATTCATTTCTCATTCAGAATTACACTACTCATTGAAGAAGTTTAATAATATAACAAAACTCAAACAGCGTAAAATCGTATTAATTATAAAGCAATTTAACGAAACTGGTCTTTTTTTAAAACCATTATGGATGCTTATACAATCGCGGTCTAGATGTTTGTCTTTACAGTAACTGCCGAAAGTACAGTAGGTAGGTATTTGAGACTGAATAAATAGCAAAATAGCATCTATTACTTAGTACAAAGATGCCACGGTGTTTAACTGGATGTCCCGTCGTCCATCGCGTAATAATATTGGATCTCAAAGTTAACCTGAGTGAAATCCATTGTGACATCTCGATACACTAATGTGAGGTATTTCAACACAATCATGTAACGTAACAATAGTAGTATTTTCAATTCAACTATACTTAGTATACATCTTTCTTCTGCCTAGGCGCAGACCACCGACATTTAGTTGGCCGATAGTTGGGTCGAGCTGTTAATCAGTATGGGCAATGGGCATGTATGAATTAGGGTTGTGGAGAATTTACTGATTCCTTAAAATGGTCTACTCCCTTATAATGGTCTAGTTCCTTAAAATGGTCTAAATAATTTGGTTGGGGAAGACAGTCGAAGCTCGAAGACTTATCGCTAAAACGTAACCTAACCAATAATAAATTAAAAATAATTACGATGCAGCTTATGTCATCGTAATTGTATTATGTGATATTACACAGCCAATTATAGCGTAATTTTAAAAATATTACTTCTTAAAAAAAGAAAAACATCGCAAAGATGATAGAGAGCCTACGATGGAAATATTGCATTTTTGTTCGCGTTTGTAATTTTTGTTCGTTCGTTCGTTCGTTCTTTTTTAGCCAAATAACGTCCGCTGCTGGACTAAGGCCTCCCTCAAGGATTTCCATGACGACTAGACCTTCGCTGCCCGCATCTTGGTACTACCTACACTAGATTCTCGGTCTACATAGTAGTCCACATTACTCAATCTTATTTTGTATGGTATAAGATAAGTACAAAACTGTTAAGGCCTTACAAAGCTCGGCGTAGTACATTTATTTCGAAAGAAATATTCAACTCGTTTCATTGTTTATGTACTAAGTAAGTACATAAGTGTGAAATGCAGAGGGCAATGGCAAACCTCTGCAACATGGGAGTCGGTGTTTTTCAATCTGCATTCATGATATCGATCCTAGCATTGTGATGAACACAACATAAGTTTCACATAACTTTTAGTTTGTAGAAAATACGCATAGGTAGTTGTTAATCAAAGAAACAAGATACATATTTACTTCTATAAGAACCAAGAGACTCAGATCCGATTCTCTATCTATATTTATTAGGTATGCTATTTCATTAAACTCGTAACTATGCGTGAGTACGTGCAAATATTCCAAATAGCCAGTTCCTCCGTGGTTGAGGATTCCGGGTGAAGCTCGCTTGATCAACACTTACCATCAGGTGAGATACAAGACAAGAGCTTAATCGTTGTGGATAAAAAAAAATATTGAATTCATTTTTCTACTTTAAGCAGTTCTATACTATTTCCCTTGCTTTATATTTTTCTTTCACGTGTAAAAAAAATCCATGTGGCACCTTTCTTTGACAAGGATTCTTTAATGTCTATGTCAGGGCTATGACAGTGTAGTTCCGATGTGTCCGTTTGGCGCTGCAATCGCTCACGCTCCCCGCTCCACCGCACCCCTCTGACGCCTGTCAACTAGGATGGGACGCCATGTTGTTGAATTGACGTTTCTCAAGTAACGTTGTCGAGTGCCGGTGTTTTTAGTGTATTTCCTCGCATTTTGCTGAGTTGAGATCCTAAATATCCAAATTCTCCTTCGTTATTTGATACAGTTATCGTAGTCTTATATAGTGTGCTGCTATAAAGATTGCGAATCGATCGTCATGGGACAATTCAAGTGTTGTGTTGGTGGTTGCAACGCAACTAGTGATACTCATCGACTGTTTAGTTTCCCTAAGAACAATGAATTAAGGAACTTGTGGTTGTCGTTTCTTGTGCCTACCAACGCTCTCCTCATCGGGCTCTCAGAAGTTCAGTTGCGCCGAAAACGTGTTTGTGAAAAACATTTCGACAAACACCAGTTTGACATAAACGGTGGAAGACTTCGGCAAGCCTATCCGTGTTTATTTACAGAGGAAGAGATTAAGCACGGAGTACCTCTTTCTGATACTAAACCTGGTAAGTTCTTTCATCGTGGTATTCATCATGAGTTCAACAATNAGAAGAAGAAGAATTACGATGCAGCTTATGTCATCGTAATTGTATTATGTGATATTACACAGCCAATTATAGCGTAATTTTAAAAATATTACTGTTTAAAAAAAAGTAAAACATCGCAAAGATGATAGAAAACCTACGATGGATATATTGCGTTTTTGTTCGCGTTTGTAATTTTTTTTCGTTCGTTCGTTCTTTTTTAGCCAAATGACGTCCGCTGCTGGACTAAGGCCTCCCTCAAGGATTTCCATGACGACTAGACCTTCGCTGCCTGCATCCAGGTACTACCTACACTAGATTCTCGGTCTACCTAGTAGTCCACACTACTCAACCTTATTTTGTATGGTATAAGATAAGTGCAAAACTATAGCCTTAAAAAGCTCGTAGTACATTTATTTCGAAAGAAACATTGAACTCGTTTCATTGTTTATGTACTAAGTACATACATAAGTGTGAAATGCAGAGGGCAATGGCAAACCACTCCAACATGGGAGTCGGTTTTTTTTCAATCTGCATTCATGATATCGATCCTAGCATTTTGATGAATACAACACAAGTTTCACATAACTTTGAGTTTGTAGAAAATACGTATAGGTACTAGTTGTTAATCAAAGAAACATGACTACATATTTACTTCTATAAGAACCAAGAGACTCAGATCCAATTAAAGTAAATCTTCTCTTTCTATATTTATTAGGTATGCTATTTCATAAAGCTCGTAACTATGCGTGATTTTAAAGACCAAAAATATTAATTGAATTCATTTTTCTACTTTAAGCAGTTGTATACTATTTCACCCTTGCTTTATATTTTTCTTCCACGTGTGAAAAATCCCACGTGGCATCTTTCACAATTGACAAGGATTCTTTAATGTCTATGTTTGCTTTGCTATCACTGTATGTTTTTTAACCTAATTTATTATTTTATTAACTAGCGTTATATAATTATGTTTAAAAAGGTGCGTACAAGCAGCAGAATTTACATCCGATGGGTCCATCAGTATTCAAGTTTAGAAATATTTCGTCATGCTCAGGTCCGGACACACAGCCGTAATATTAAGAGAATTTGCACTTTCGCTAATACCTAGTTACATTTATTCTAGACGGAAAAAGCCAATTATAAAAATACTAAACTTAATGATGTACAGACGGCATATCAAGCTAAGTACTTATGTCTTAAAGCAGCTGCAATAACACCAATTTTGCTGCAGTCTGTGATGGCTTGACTGTACCTAACGCCTCAGTGAAGTCTGACATCAGGAAGCAATCACAAAGTTGAATCTTTAATGAAACATTGTCTAGGAGTCTAGTTGTTTAAAGAAGACGCATAATATATAAGAAGGCAATCAAGGAAAGAAGGAGGAGTTTTGTTGCATCCAAAGCTGATAACGGAATAACTTCATACTTATATTGTTGATTAACCTTCTCCTGCTTTGCACCGTAGGGAAACGAAAGGATATTATTATCAATACTTCGAACTCTTCTACTATTCTTCTGGTTAAATTCACAAAACAGTCTACTATCTCTCGGATTACTCAACATTCAGTGGCTGGGTTTTATTAGTGGTCAAACTGTAAATCTTGTCTGTACAGAATTTGTCGGATTAGGAACGAAAGAATTCATGCCGTTATAATTCGACTGCCAAGTTTTTATCCAAAAAATAAGAATAAGACTTCAGCAAAGACATTCAAACACAACTTTTCATCTAGTAAAACTATCATCCGGATAACTATAAAAGTTGTATGCTCTTCGCCATACAACCTAAAACAGATTAGTCGTTTACATTCCCAAACGCATAGAATAACAATAGGTGTTATCTAAGTACACTCCTAGTTGAAGTGGAGCACGCATGCTGCTATGTTTATCGTTTTGTACCAAGTTACCTCAATATCTTGACCAGTACAGCACCGGTTGCATATGAATTGCTTTTATGTAATTCCGGTTCATTCTTAAATAAACAGCTGATGAGCAGGAAATTGGCTATCGGTTGCATCATTTCACAAAAGTATCGTAGAGATTTGGAAATTTTCTTTTACAAATGTCGGACCTACTTTTTGCTAAGAACAAAGAACCTTTTTGAAATTTATGGGGACACTTAGAATATAAAATGACTCTTTATGCTATATAGTGCGCTACTTCTCTTATTATTCTTTTGCATGACTACGTGTGAGATTCCACACATCGTTGGTCACAAGTAGTTAATGATAAGTTACCGTGATTAAACATGATCTATGTTTTTTCAGGATTCAACGAAAAAGGACTCCAATGAACTTGTGCTCCAGTATAAGAATGTTGAATACTCCAACAATATCTCAAGCATGAGTTCAATGCATTCTCCTCTTTCATTCGATTACCTCAAAAAAGAATTTCAGAATGCTGAAAATGCGTATGATCAAGCCAGGTAAAATAAAATGATGAAAACTTTTGAAAAACATAAAAGCCTTTAAAATATTTTGGGTTGAATTAAAATCATTCTATTATTTACAAAAATAAGAGTCTTTTAATGACAGAAGACATTTTATTAATGTTTAACGCGTATTCTTTCAGACCAATTTCATGTCCAGTATGTGCCAAAATGATAGTCATGAGTTCGATTTTAGTTCATTTCTACTTCGACCACTCAAAAGTGTTGAAGTTATCACTATCCAAATCAACACGTCAACATATTGTAATCAAAGCTTCAGACATAAGTCTTGAGACTAAATGCGTTGCTGTACTTTTACTGGCCGATGGAAAAAGGTACAGAAGTATATAATTAATTCTAAAGTAACTCTGCAAAGTAAATCTTTTCACACTTAAACCACTGAACCGATTTAGATGATTGATCTAGAAAGCATTTACACAAAACAAAAGCGCGCATTGTATATTAAATCGTAAGACAATATTATGAAAAAAATTTTTAGCTCAACAGGTAACATACAACAAGAACCTATCAACAATAAGTTACACGCCTTCCTAATGGCTGCCAAAATGAGTTCATGGTCTCCACTGAATAGCAACGTAGGTGTGTTAAAGGATAAATGTATTATGGTAAGGATATTTATATTATTTATCAAAATAATATTTCCATGTCTATAATTTTAAATGAACATTTTATACATTTTAAGGATCAAGTGCATGAAGACCAACCCAGACCTAATAATCTAATACGGAGTAGATTTGACGAGAATGATGTTATTTTGTTTTGGACATGCACAACACATAATTGCGAACTGATTTGTAACGTAAGTTCTTACTTAACTGAAGATTTTTTATTTGGTTTATTAAAATTTAATCTAGAGACCAAAAATGCCGTAAAAATATTGGGCATCGATAAAGGTACTAAAACTTGGAAAACAAAATTAATAATACGTCAAAAACATGGTTATATACTTACGTTCAGACACAGTACCTCTAGCTAGTAAGTCCCTGCTATTAACCGATTGAGTCCCAGACGGCATTAATTAATGTCATAACAATTGATTTTATCTATTGTGTCTAGATTCGCGGAGCTTGAACGATTAAACAGTGTCTTTATATTATTGTAGGTAAAACTTTCAAGAAAAGACAAAAAGCTAAGCTTCAGTTATACAGGCAAAGCCATTGATATAAGAGAGAAGCAAGACGCTAAAAATATTTATCGAAGCTCAGCATGTCTAGTTGTAAGAGGAGGAACTGCCAACAAGTTGCTTGATAAAGAGGACCAGCTGAATGTTTTTGTAAGATATTTACGATAAAAGAAAATAAAATATTTTTAACGCAATTTATATTCGTAACTCAATCACATGTAACACTATTTAAAACATAATAAAATAACTAAAACCTACTGCAAATCTTAGCAGTATCTTCAAATCCTTTTGAAGAAGCTTCTCGAATAGTTCTTTTATCCTTATCGAAGTATACCCGAACCTTTTCTTTTCCACATTTCTTTGGCGCTTTCAACTCATTTTGAAAGTAAATTTCATAGTCAGGGCTTGTTTTAATGTCTTTAAATTGGTTAATATGCTTTACGTTATCTTTCTTCAGTATTTCGAATGGATCGTTTATTTTGTATTTGATGTTAGTCGGGTTGTAAAAATCGGCGGCAAGTCCTAAAGAGGCGTCGGCATTTTGCAGTAAGTTGTCTATGACAGGTTGCTTGTATGTTTGGTCCAGTGGGGCTCCGGTGCTGGTAACCATTTTCAGGCTTTTTAATTCAACTCTAAAACAAAAGTTTATGGTGAGCTTTTTTTTTGACATAATTTTTATCGACACTCAATTAATTAACTAAAACATTTTCAAAGTCGATCCAAAAAAAACTTAAACATTGATAAGTACGTCTGTTTTTATTTAATTTCTTCAAGGAGAAAATTAAATAATCCTAAGTCTATTTAATCTACGACAGCCGATTATAATACTTATGGAAATTCAATCAGCTATGATGTCTTGAATGGAACTTCAGTTGTTAATGTATACTTACCCATAACTGCTATTGTCCGCATAATATTTCACTTGTATTGGGTTCCCTTCATTATCGGTGTAGGAATATTTTCCTACAACAGTCCCGTTGGGAAAGTGTTTTTCAGATTTATCAAGCTTGCTTCCAGGATCTACCTTGCTTATTGGGTAACCTGGAATTAGATTTACTTGTTTTCTAACCTAATCTAATACCGTTTCTTTATTTTCGAATATCACATTTATTATTAACATTTTGAATTAGGTGGACCGACGAGATCATAAAGGTAGCAGAAAGGCGCTGGACGCAGGCCGCTACCAATCGATCAACATGGTAAACATTGGTGGAGGCCTACGTTCAGCAGTACTTAGATGTCCTATGGCTGTAAAATTTTACTAAGGTATTTGTACCTATGATATTGGCCTTGCTGAAGACCTTAAGATTTATTTCATTAATAAATACTTACATATTGCGGATCCAAGGCATAACACAGTAATTGAAATAAGCCTCAAATTATTCGTTTTGTTGAAGCAGTGTATCATTTTCGACAAAGATTTGTTTCTCGTTTCTCCTGTAATCCTTTTGGTAAACGTCATAACAAATTTTGTCTTTGTCAACAATGTCAAAAATGTTTTTATGAATCTTTGCAAATTTAATCATAAACATTAAGTAGGACTAAGTAGGTTTTACAATATAGGTGTTATGGTGCTTTTAATTTTAATAGTTTTGTAAAGACTGACTAGCTTTCCGCCCGCGGCTTCGCCCGCGTGCAATTTTGTCTGTCACAGAAAAGCTTTATCGCGCGGCTATAAACCTTACGGAGCCCGAGACCTTTCCAACGAATGCAAAACCGTGGAAATCGCTTCGTGCGTTCTGGAGTTATAGCATCAGGAAGGAAAACCCGACTTATTNGTTTTGAACATCATTTATAAGAACCGTAATAACTAGGAGGGTGCAAAATACTATTTTGTATGGCAATATCTTTCCTGACTGGAATTCTAGTAAAATAACTTTTATTTTCAGTCTTCCTATTCGGTTTCTTTGGCCGGGACCAGGTTACTGATGGCTCCATATTTGCTACTTGGTCTATGGGGCGAGGAATTTCGGGTTGACGGGGAACATCGGTCATCAACCTGAAACAAAAACAAAAGAGTATTTAAAAAAGATTTTTGCTGTTTTTTTTTAAACTGGCAAGTACTTCTATTCCTAAATTGTTTTAATTAAGTAAGCGCCTTGTTGGATAAAAACATTGAGCGCCTTTATTATTTGAACGGCTAAGTTTTCAAACCAGTAGCGATTGCTTTTAAAACTTCTCAAGGTATCTGCACAAACGTGATATCCCAACTAATATTATAAATGCGAAAGTAACTCTGTCTGTCTGTCTGTCTGTCTGTCTGTCTGTCTGTTACGCTTTCCCGCTTAAACCTCGCAACCGATTTTGATGAAATTTGGCATAGAGATAGTTTGAGTTCCGGGAAAGAACATAGGATAGTTTTTATCCCGGTTTTTGAAACAGAGACGCGCGCGATAAAGTTTTTCTGTGACAGACAAAATTCCACGCGGGCGAAGCCGCGGGCGGAAAGCTAGTACGTTATATAGGTAGGTATTTTTTTAACAATATGCCTGTTTGCAACTTGCAGCAAAAGATAAAATCGCCACCTACCTACTTCCTAAACATGAAAATGCTTTTGAACTTTACTTGTAAGTTTTAAATTTTAAAATCGTCAGGTTTCCTGTCTTGCTTATTGACGACAATTAATTTATTACATTTCAGCCGGGCTGCGTGCCGTAATAATATCTTATCGATTTTTGACGACAAATGTATGGGCCCTATCGTAATATCGACAAAATGGGGTGATAAACGCTTTTCGCGGCACGCATCATATATTAGGCCTACTGGGCTTTTGATAAAAGAGACCAGCCAAAGAAATTATCATAATAGTATGCTCATTAAACTATAAACTAAGTACATTAGTGGAAAAACGGGGGTGATAGAGAAGGTGATTGTCAGTAAACATCCTTCTCCAGAAATAACCACTAGACACGTTACTACTAGATAAATTCATTTATTGTCTATTGAACCCCACAGGCAGGCCACTGTTTTATAGTCACGATAGCCGAACGGTGAAGGGGTCGGAGTGGCCGACTCGACATCCGAAGAACGCGGGTTCGAATCCCACCGCCGCTCGACTTTTGCGGTAAGCCCACTCAGTTTCAGCCGAAAGACGTCCACTGCTGGACAAATGCCTCCCCCGTAACACAAGCTTATTTAGCTTAACACGAGGGGCTAATGGGACTATTAGTAATTTGGGCAATACAAATTGCTAATAATCTTTACAAAAAAACTGTTGGCTTGCCCTGTGGCTTGGCCCTTAATAAGAGCTTTAATGTAAGTCCTATTTTCACAACTCACCTGTATCCTTTCTCATCGGCAACGTAATTGTATCGATGTGGTCGTCCGTTACCATCGACATAGCCGTAGCTCCCAACCACTGTGCCATTGGGGTAGCGCTCCTCAGTTCGGAACTGGGTGTTGCCAGTTTGTGGATCGTGCACGTCATAGCCAAAGGCATAGGTTCCTGGATGACCTAAAATAATAGAGCTAATGTATTGTTTGTCCTTTAAGAATAGAAATAAAGGGAAATAATATTTAAGAATCTTTCTCTTCCACTGACTTATCCTCTATTAGCTCTCTTTACCGCGACTTTTTCCGCGTAGATTTTGAAAAGAAATTACCTAACTAAGCACTGTCTAAAAAAATAATTTTATGTGAATTTAGGGACGTACGTTAGTATGAAGAACAATAGTTCCCAATAAAATGAATTAGGTATTTACGTATAGAATTTTGTTGTCTTACCATCGACATTCGTGACGTAGTAGCTAGGCATCGGCTCTGCCAAAGTCAGCCTGGCTTGTCTTGAGGGCGACAGTACTCGGGCTTGTCCTCCCAACAAACACAGTAGTAAGACAACCTTAAACAATACAATTATTACCATCATCAGATCCTTTAGTTTCTACTCCAGGAACACGACCTTCTCTATGATTTCAACGAGTAGTGGGGGTAGAGGACTACCTTCTCACTTCTGGTAAATTGGGAATTTTACTCTGTCTGAGACAAAAACTAAAAGATAATTATGAATAAACAAGGTATATTGTAGTAAAATATTATTATCTAAAAAGCTCTTTATGCTTTCGTATGTTACTTTAGGTTGCTGATTTATGGAATCCATTAGTAATTTATGGCTGAACTGAATCTAATGAATTATTTTTGTTTAAGTAAGATTTGAATGATGTGAAGTTTTAAATAAAATACTATTTATGTCTGGCCTAGAAAATTAAGTCTGAAAGGAAAAACATTAAAATGAATTTTTCAGTAGTTAATTACGAAATATTTTTAATAATTTACATAAAAAAATAATGTATTTTGATGTTAATATTGTGCTTTTGTCTAGCACTTCACATCTCATAAGATAAGTTGAATGGCACCTTAATTGTTTGTTCATTTTGGGCTTATCAAGCCACTCAAAGAATTAAAAAAAAACTTTTAGAAAAAGCTCACTAAAAAGTTTCAGCTTCTTAAAACTAATCACTCCTTACCTTATGCAAATGATCCATTTCACCGATTCCAAATTCACAAACCAAGAATAAAATTTATTTTCTTCTATATTTCTGTCAAAAGTGTACAATCCAGGAGCGTTATCTTCGCGGCAGTCACGTCAATGCGTGCTCTCTCAAAATCGTCCTTCTATTTACAGTGTTAGCCGGCAAAAACAATAAACCAGTATGGGCAACGAGCACCAGTGGGTGAGGGCAATTTCGCCCATATCCGCCTTACAGCTCTGATGTCATGCGAAGGATAAGGAATGGCCTTATACAGCTGACGAAAGGTTTATGGTGACGAACGGTGCTTTTATATGACTAATTTGTTTAACTGGGGCTTTTTTAAGGTCGATAGTTATTTGTCAACTTTGAGGTAAAAGGCGTTGAAAGTTATTCCATTTAAACTAGTAATTATCAAAATTTTTCTGTGTACGTTTTCATAGCAAGTTACTGAACTAAGTATTTTTTAAATATAGTTGATAGAGATAAATTAAATTGGACCTTTACAGGTCGAACAATAGGTATTGCCTCAAAATTCCATCCATAACATTCTTACAGAATGCACCTTTCAATAAGATATAAGAAACGGTATCACTCCTCAATTCTCTACCCCATTTAGTTCAGTAAACATATAAAAGAAGTATAAAACCTCAAGACATTTCATTTTATAGTGTTTATACCCAAAACGACGGTTTAAGAGCTTTAATATAATTAAGGGTGTCAAGCCGGCGAATTGATGGATGCAGAGATATAAAAGTGCAGTTTAAGACGCGTGTAGGGTTGCCAGGCGTCCGGCTTTAGCCGGACATGTTTGGCTTTTTAGAGGCTTGTCCGGCCAAATATTGTCTTGTCCGGCCTGTCCGGCTTTTATTAGGCTTTTTATATGCCGCGCCAGTCGAAACTCGAGCCACAGAATAATTCATTCATTCAAAGATGATAGTACCCACTCATGAGCTATGACGCTTATTGCACCCCCCCCCCCCGTGACATGGTACGTTAGCTATTAAAAAGGTATGTCCGGCTTTTAGGGTAAAATGTCCGGCCAAATGAAGCACAGAGTCCGGCTTTTGTGTTTTTGGACCTGGCAACCCTAGACGCGTGATACCGTAAATAGCTTTTATGGCACCGCCGACGACACCGCCCACGATTAGCGCTGTTATACCGCTGTTCAGAAGCTTAGGCCCGGTAAACATCTGCGACTTCTATAGTTTCTATTGTCAAACTAAGGCTAGGTTGCACCATCTTACTTTAACTGAAACAACCGTCAAATATCTGACAAACTCCATACAAAAAGCACTGGTCATAGTTATAGTTACGGTCAACGTTAGGTGGTGCAACTCAGTCTTAGTAAACTGCCTGAACACTTTTAAAGGATAAGCCTTATTTATTAGTCATAGCTACATAGGTATTCTTACTGAAAGGTTTTCCTGAACAAATTCGTATCGTGTTGATTTCAGATTATTATTGATTCTAGTCTGATACTTAGGTAAATACTAAAAAAGCTGTTTGAGCTAGCGAAACTTCGTTTGATTAAATTAGTTCCTGTACTAGTTTGTTAACTACATAGTTTGTCTTTCTTATAATGCTCCTTTTTAAGTGTTTTTGTTTAAACCAGTTCGTATGTGACTTGCCTAATTTTGAATATCTTACTTACACCAAAGACGATGCCGCGAATACGTCTTTGGACTGTTATCGATATTCTTATGCATCCTACGCTTGATATTGCTTCTTTAAAATAATATAAACAGGGAAGTAACTCTTTTTGTTGCATTTTCACGGCACACTGAACCAATATTTAAAGGTAACATCAAACCACGCGGGTGATAAGTAAGCTAACGCCCGTATTCACAAACGATGCTTGCTTAAGTGAAGCAGCAAATCGAACGCACAGCGTTGAATAGAGCTCTTTGATTGGTTCGTGTGTGACCCTGTGCGTCCACTCACTCCGTCCACTGTGAGACCTCATAGTAATGTTTCGGTATACAGGCGTTAGTATCTGTTATTCCATTAGCATTAAAGCCATAATACGATGTCAGTACAAAATACTAAGGGTGGGTTGCACCATCTTACTTTAACTTTGACAAACGTCAAAAATCTGTCAAACTCCATACAAAAAGCACCGGTTATCGTCATAGTTACCGTTAAAGTTAGGTGGTGCAACTCAGCCTTACTGTCGTTCTTGCTTTCAAGAGGTTAAAACGTTTATTGTAATAATATATTACCTTTTATAACGGTTCAGTCTATAAACATCTTCATGTCTCCATATATGGAATTTATTGCTAATAAATTCAAACAAAGCGATGAATTAGGCGAGTGTCATAATCGGATATAGTAGTAACTAGAATTCCCAACCATAGAACACCTATTTTTGAGCTAGTAGAGTTTTATTTCGCATACGAAATCGCACGGTACGAGTATTTATCAAATTCTAATCCAATTTGAATGAATTTGTATGCGAATCGTAATTCGAATGATTCAAGAATACGCCTCCAGTTCATTGCCCTAGCGAATTCGTTAGTAAGAAAATGTTAATACTAATGAAGTAATTTATTTGAGAAATGGATTCGATTTAGCGTAGCTACTTTGGTCATTGAATTAAATGAGAGCAAAGTTAATAAATGATGCATTAATGTCCAATCAATGTTTAGGATGCCAAATGAATATTCTGTCGTTTCTGTGTTAGGGTTTCCAAACGCCCGGGATATATCCAGGACTATCCTGAAATAGACCGGCGTGTATTGTGTCCTGTTTCCAAAAAAATCAAATATTTCCTAAAAATAACGTAAGTATCATCTAGTCAGTCTGAAATTGTTTTTATTTTCTTTTGTTTTCGATGTGAGTCTAATTACAGCTTTACTGTCTAGATCAGGCTTTAGGATCTAAAAAAGAATTCACTGGTTGCGTTTTATGGCTAACCATTTTGTATGTATCTGCTACACAGAACTTGTATCGGTAGGTGAGAATAATTACGTATTCAGTCGGATAAATGATGTTGATTTTTGTTACGTTAGAATTGTGTTTTTGTATACTATTTAATTTTGTAGGCGTGGTATATTTGTATTTGCGAACTGAATCATAAAAACACTTTAGGTACTTACAACTAATCAAAGTTGTAAAAATTAATGATAACCATTACAAAAATGCTCTGTAAGGGCATTAATCACTGTACTATGACCCCCAACCGCTGCGGATATCATATTGTATATTAACTCCCATCCTCTTCTAAATTACTTCGATTTTTCTTATACACATGTATAAAAAACTTACTTACTTTTGCAATTTAAATTAGTAATAAACTTTGAATAGGTGGTAAATTTTATTTTTATAATCGTACATTAAACATTATACAACGTTAAAACTTTGATTTAATACATTTTTGGCAATACATTATTTATATGGCGATTGTAAAACCAATTGAGATCATAAAAACAATAAAATCCAATAAATGAATAAAAAAGAAGAAATAAGAGATTATTTTCAGAACCAGAACAAAGTTCAGTGAACTTTTTAACACATAAACCTAAGTAAGCATATAAATCGGTAACAAAATACATAGTAATGAAAAAATTGTACTTCAGATGCTATCAAATGAACACACGTTTGTGTGTACAAGATATCCCATTAGATTATAATACAGTAATTTCTTAATCTATTCGTTTATACATAACACTAAATGAATTTCTGATAAATCTTATTTTGAAACTTAACTCAAAGCCATAAGACGTGTAAGCGATTTTGGTCTCACAGTTGTATGATAAACAGTTCAAAATGCAAATTGTCCTGTTACTAACCCTGTCTGCGCCTACTTTTCAAGATTGTTCCTAAACCGGCTTACGTACAGGTAACACAGTTATTTATAGCACATAAATCCTAACACCTTCCTTGTCGCATAAATTGTAACATTGCAAGTTGGCTACAAGTAGTTACAATTTAATATCGAATTACAATCTGGATTCAAGATTCTGAGACGTGATTGAAGCTATGCACAGTCAGCGTCAAATAGATCGTGACACCCAAAGTAGCCAAAAAGTTCGTAACACGTCTTTGTAACAATAAAATTGGAATAAGGTTACGTGTCGTCAACTTTTTGGCCACTTTGGATGTCACGAACAATTTGTAGCTGACTATATTACATCCATCACTGTTTTAAGAGGACTGTTGTCACAGTAATTTGTACTGCTGCAATAGATGAACAACAACAGCAATCATCAGACTATACATTTTAGTTGCTAAGCAGCACCTATTACCGCTTCATAAGATGCTACAAACGAGACTAATCCCACCTCTCTTTCCCACCACTGCAACTCCAATAAAGCCAGGATCTATAGCATGGCTTCTAATGAAATCCAACCCATGAAAATAAGACAGATCTTTTCTTAAAGGTCACTTAAAAAGCTTTGTTTTGTCTCTTGTCATCCGCTTTGCACTGGAGGGAAGTCGAAACTTAACTTCGAACGCCTCCTATATTCTTCTGATTAATTTCATTGCTGGTCCAATGACAGTTTAACGGTTTAACCTTCCCCCGGAACAAACTTAACCTTCACTGGTTGGGTTATTTCTGACGGTCAAGCTGTAGATCCTGGCTACACAGGAGTTACAGCGGTGGGAACGAGAGGTGGGAATAGTACTGGGCTCTACCAAATTACCCTGTACGGTGCCGGCTCTACAAAAGTATCTAACTAAAGTGTAGTTATAATTAAAAATATGACGTAATAAGTTTATCTAAAAGCGGTGCTTATATAAGGTAAGGTGGGCTAATGCAGGTAATGGGGAAGCGCGATGGCCGGCGCGGCTGCGTAGTGAGCTACTGGGGCCACGGCAACCTGTAAAGAAAGATTAAGATTAAATTCAAATTCAATCATTTATTTGCTAGAATACATACCTTATTACACATTAACCCTGTGGGATTGATAGGGTTCATGGAAAATGACAACAATTTATTTGCTAGAATACATATCTTATTACACATTAACCCTGTGGGATACGGTTCATGGAAAATGAAAAGAATCATTTGGGAATATAGAGCTTTGGTGTCTTAAATAGTGTTAAGTTTAGCTGTTAAGCTGTTGAAGGAATTTATATTATATGGCATACATCTTTTCAGAGTAAAGACCACGAAATATCAATATTATTGGTATCTTAAAAAGAGGTATAGAGATACAACACACAATGACCGTTTTACAGGCTCAAGTAATAAAGGTCGATTGGTCCTATAATAAGTACATCGGAGACACTATGTTATACGGTTATATTATATATTATAATATCACAATAAAGCGATTAGATATGAGTAACGATTACGTTTAGTTAATAGCACCTATACTCTTAAAATAGCAATTAAATGTCATTTTATCGGCCTGCAATTGCAACAATCCTAAGCCGTTTAACGTTCCATTTCAACTAGATATCACCTTAAAATTAATGGTGCATTTTTCTCGGAAAACTTTTCAAAGCCTATCTAAGAAATTCGGTAAATATGTTGGCCAAGTTCCACGGGCCTACCTGTTTCCTTATAAGTCTACGCCATTAGGACTTGCGCAAACGCACCCAGCGCAATTGCGGAGAAATCAAGTTTGTGTAATGGTAATGCCCCCTGACGAGTAAGATGGTAAACAGTCCTTGAGATTATATTGTTTTAAATACAAGTTTTGCTAAATTAATTTCTTGCTACTAGATAAGTAGCAATATAATGAAGTATTTTGTCTTGTGTTTTTAATTTCAGCAGTTTTAATAGACCCAGGATACCAAAATAAATAGGCAGGTAAAAGTGTCAGCAATATTGACACTTTATCACACTTTTCATTTATTATGAAAAATACTTTCAGTGACTTTCAAAACATTTATGTCACCCTTGAATTCTAGTGCGCATTTGCATGGTGAATCGGATGCCAAAAATATTTTTGTATACTAACGGTGAACTCACTTAAATGGTATGCAGATCAGTAGAGCATGTTACGAACATGTTAATACTAGAAAAGTAACCGGATGGCCCGCATACCCTTCAAGGAATCCTTACATGCTTATCGTATGTAGACTGTTTTGGCAAATTCTAATAACTCATTTTGCCATTACTACGACTTTTGTAGCCAGAGCCATAGCTTAATTGCCAGTTAGGAAACCCAATGTCGAAGCTCCAATGTAATGCTTCAGTTAAAAATTATTCGATGTTTGAAAAATTAGCCGTTAATCTTGTTTGTGAACTCTCAATATGTTAAGCATTTCGCTGCATTCAAACGGGCATAATAGTTAAATAATGTCCGTGACCTACATGCTATGCACTTTACCATCCAAGTGTTATGGTGTAGACTAGCACAAATTAATTATTGAACGAGCGCAGGATGGGATGTGGACGCGTTTCGTTTGTTCTTTTCGTGGAAAGAACTACGTCCGGGATAAGTGATTTTAATTAGAATGCTCACGTATGCTTCAGGTCTTCGGGATAAAGTGCACAAACAAAAGTTGTAGCAACAAGTTTCCCTAGTAGGTATATGATCGGAAAAATGTTAAGAAAAATCAAGCCTTTATTGATTGCAGGCCAAGCTTAGAACTTGACACTGAGCTACTTGTAGAAAAGTCAACTTACCGGGTGTACCGCGTGCCCCGTCTTGTGCACGACGGCGTTGAAACCGTTGTGGTCATCGGCAGAGTAGGATACTGTTCTCGTGGACCCGTCGGGCTCCACTAGTGAGTAGCTCCCTGTTAGGAAGATAAAAAAAATTAGCCGACTAAATTTTCTTTCAAGTATAACATCGAGATTTATCTCTTGTATGATCTGTTGCAGAATTGCTTCCTTTTCCCGATCATCACTGAATTAAACTGCGAGGTTTAAATCTTAATTTACCCTTTGATCATCTCTATGGTCTATCGTGATTCGTGTTGTTACTTTTGAAAAAAGGTATAATACACTAAATTGTATGCTCTGCATCGAGAAATGAGATAAAGAAAAATATAAAGAACGTAAGATTTCCTATTCGGGAAAGATAAATTAAAACTCATTTTATATCATGTAATTTACTTAGATACCAATATCATTTTAAAAAGGTAACTATGTTAAGACCTAACAAATATTTTAACAACATAAGTTTATTTAATGTAATTATGTTTAGGTTTACCTTTTACAACATCGCCGTCTCTCTCCTCCTGCTGCGACTTGATGTCGCCGGTGTGTGGGTCTTTCACGCCGTAGTTGAACGCGTACCGTGGGTACGACTGCAAATAAAACAATAAATGCTTATTCGGCTTAATTTCAGGTTCTGCCCACATCTACAACTTTGGTGAGATACTTTTCAGGAAAATTGCAATATTCTCGATTGAAAAAAAATCTCAAACGAATGAAAATGTCAATCGTCTTACTTAAAACATGAGCCTCCAAGAGTAAGGTTCGTAGGTATTACAATAGAACACTAAAAACTCGAATAAACCTCGATCAAAAATTTGTCCCATCATTGGTTAAATATACACACTCAACCAATCAAAAACTTCAATATCCTTTAACTTCAGTCGAGTTATGTTTGTGATTCATACTATACAATAAACGCGTTATGGTATCTAAGTTTAATTAAAATGTTGTATTTATTTATTGAAATAGATTTACCAACAACACATCTTTTAAGAAACAAGTAATGCAATAAAACTTTATGATGTTATAAAATAATATCATATTTGAGATCTAATAGAGATGTCCATTTCTTTGACTCCACTTCTGGACAAAGTGTCGAACCCGCGACTGTCCATAATTAATTCAGTACGCGAACCGCTAAGCCTGGCCTACGCATTGATATCTGAAAGTAACGGGACTATTCCCACCTCTCTTTCCCATCACTGCAACTCCTGTGTAGCCAGGATCTACAGCTTGACCGCCAATAAAAACCCAACCAGTGAAGGTCAAGTTTGTCCCGAGGGAAAGTTAAACTGTCATTGGACCCGCAACGTCTATATCTGAAAGTAGCTATCACTATACTGACCACAGGTTCAGCCACGGCGACCGGAGCATGCACAGCAATAGGCGCGTGCAGCAGCGGCGCATGCGCATAAGGATAGTGCTGTGGCGCCGCCCACGCTGCGCTCGCGCATGCTAGCACCAGAATGATCTGGAAGGAATGGAGGAGTTTGCAATGAAGACGATAGTGTTGAGGATCTGAGGTGGTATTGTGTACAATCGTAATCATTTGACAGTTCTTAACGTACGATAAAGTTCATACCGTATGAACTGTCAAATGATTACGATTGATTTAAACAATTCCACCTCTGATGCATTTCATGTCGTGTGCTGTCGTTGGGAGGTATTGAGTTCAGATATTGTTACATAATTATTTATCAACTAGCTTTTGCCCGCCGCTTTACCAGTGTGAAATTTAGTTTGTCACAGATTGTAGTAAATTATATGTTATTCTGGGTTACAAACAATAATAATGTAAAGTTTCATGAGTTTTTGCGTGAAAGAGTAACAAACATCCAGACATCCACACAAACTTTCGCATTTGTAATATTAGTAAGATTATATTTTGAAAATATCTAAACTCTCTCAAAGTTATTTTGATGTAATTTGTTAAAGTCATGCAAATACTAACAAAAATTTCGGGAAAATATTTTACTAGTGAAAATTATCTATTTCAAAACCAATACCATGCGCATTGCGCATACTTAGCGCAATTAAATTCACAGAATAATGAATGTTAATCAAGTTTTCTCTAATTATTGCCAAATTGAAAAAAAAAATCCAGTTTTCAATTCACGATAGGTAAACTTGAAAACAGATTGATAAGATGCCTCTTATTACAACCCTAAAAGATTGTATTTCGAACTTTGTTATCTCTATCAGATATTGCGCAACTCACCTGCATGTTGCTATGCGTGTCAAGCGGCTCTCCGGGTCGCCTGCGCAAGCGCCGACGGCTTATAACGGGGGACCCCACCAAAACCTGCACTGGGTGCATCTGACGTGTGCTGCACTTGGATCTGGTGATACGCCCTTTTCTAGAATTACATTAGTTTCCTTTATTTTTATTCTCTGTTTCAGGCTCTAAGGCTTATGTACAATGTTATGTCTTATAGACTAACAACCACAGTATATATATGAGCTAAAGCAGTACGGAAACTTAGCCCTTTCGGCGAGTTAAATACCTACACTTCAACTGAGTGTTAGGGTTGGCACTCTTAATCTTTATAAAATTAATAAGGTTCTTACTTACTTATTTATTAAAACGTTTATTTAGGTTTTTTAAGTATCAAATACTTAAGGGAATAAATTAATTGACTAAGTAGTTAACAAAAAAATAAAACGTTAATTAGGTTCTATAATAATCGAATACATAATCGAATAAATTGATTAAGTACTATTAGAGGCCGGTAGAAGATCTATTCTCTTAAATAAAATACCGGATACTAAGCCGGATACTTACTTTCACATACCTATTGCCTCATTTTAAATACAGTTCATCACTTAGTACAAAAGCGCGCGGAGCAAATTACTTTATCAAATAGAACACATAAATNTCGCTTCATAAGATGCTATAAACGAGACTAATCCCACCTCTCTTTCCCACCACTGCGATTCCAGTATAGCCAGTATCTATAGCATGGCTTCTAATGTAATCCAACCAGTGAAAATAAGACAGATCTTTTCTTAAAGGTCACATAAAAAGCTTTGTTGTGTCTCTTGTCATCCGCTTTGTACTGGAGTGAAGTCGAAACTTAACTTCAAACTCCTCCTATATTCTTCTGATTAATTTCGTTGCTGGTCCAATGACAGTTCAAATTTCCTCCTGGACAAACTTAACCTTCACTGGTTGGGTTATTACTGGCGGTCAAGCTGTAGATCCTGGCATCAAGGTTACAGCGATGGGTACGAGAGGTGGGAATAGTACTGTTAGACAGATATTGTGACGTAAAACGGGCTCTACCAAATTACCCTGTACGGTGCCGGCTCTACAAAAGTATCTAACTAAAGTGTAGTTTTAATTAAAAATATGACGTAATAAGTTTATCTAAAAGCGGTGCTTATATTAGGTAAGGTGGGCTAATGCAGGTAATGAGGAAGCGCGATGGCCGGCGCGGCTGCGTAGTGAGCTACTGGGGCCACGGCAACCTGTAATGAAAGATAATATTAAATTCAAATTCAATAATTTATTTGCTAGAATACATATCACACATTAATCCTGTGGGATTGATAGAGTTCATGGAAAATGACAAGAATCATTTGGGAATATAGAGCTTTGGTGTCTTATAGTGGTAGAGCGACGATATGAAATACCCACAACAGCTGTTATGCTAGGTGATGGAATTTATATTAAAAAATGGCTTAAATCTTTTCAGAGTAAAGACCACGAAATATTAATATTATTGGCATCTTAAAGAGAGGTAGAGCAACAACAATACAACATACAATGAATGTTATGGATGCTCAAGTAATAGGTCGATGGATCCTTTAATGTACAAGACGCTATGTTATACGGCCGCATTACTGGTCTTACCTACATAAAACATCACAACGATAACTAACTATTCGTTAATAGCTGTTATAATCCTAATAATAGTAACCGAATTATTTGTTCCCATATTTAAACGCTCAGTCACATTTTATTGGCCTATTGCAAATAAACGTAAGGCGTTTAACGTTCCATTTCAACGAGATATCACCTTAAAATTAATAGTGCATTTTTCTCGGAAAACTATCGAGGTCTAACTGAGAAGTTTGGTAAATATGTTGGCCAAGTTCCACGGGCCTACCTGTTTCCTTATAAGCCTACGCTATTAGGACTTGCGCAAACGCACCAAGCGCAATTGCGGAGAAATCAAGTTTGTGTAATGGTAATGCCCCCTGACGAGTAAGATGGTAAACAGTCCTTGAGATTATATTGTTTTAAATACAAGTTTTGCTAAATAATTTAGCAATCTAATAAAGTATTTTGTCTTATGTCCAGGATAGCAAAAGAAATTGGTAGGTAGATTACCTACGGCCTATCAAAGTGTCAGTACTGACTAAACGTTTAATCACAGCACCTTATCACACTTTCCATCTATAAAGAAAAAAAGGTAGAAGGTTAAGTGCATATTTTTATGTTGAAGCCAAAAATATACTGACGTGAACTCAAATGGTATGCAGATCAGTAGAGCATGTTAATACTAGAAAAGTAACCGGATGGCCCGCATACCCTTCTAGGAATTTTTATCTTATGTTGACTGTTTTGGCAAATCCCAATAACTCATTTTGCCAGTACTACTTACGACTCTTTTGCAGCTAGAGTCTTTAGCCTATTTGCCAAATTAGGAAACTCACAACTCATAAGAAGAATGCTCACATATTATGCTCCTGTTCTTTGGATTAAAATAAATTTAGAACTATCTACAAAATCGTTAGTGAACTATAAAGTTTAAAGTACCTACGACACTGTTTTTGTGGACCCGTCGGGCTCAAAGAATTAAACTTTTGAACCTGACCCTGAACTAGTTACGTCATATCACCGGGTGTACAGCGTGCCCAGTGTTGTGGACGACCGCGTTGAACCCGTTGTGGTCGTCGTCTGAGTACGAAACTGTTCTCGTGGACCCGTCAGGCTCAAAGAATTAAACTTTTGAACTTGGCCCTGAACTAGTTAAATCAACTCACCGGGTGTACGGCGTGCCCCGTCTTGTGCACGACCGCGTTGAAACCGTTGTGGTCATCGGCGGAGTACGACACTGTTCTTGTGGACCCATCGGGCTCCACTAGTGAGTAGCTCCCTGTTAGAAAGATAAAAAGAGTTAACACAGTTTTCTTATATCATGTAACCTAAACTTATGTCAAGAAAAATATGTACGGTTGACTTTTAGTTTCTATTGAGGGGAAAAAACTGAAATTAAATAAGTTATAATAAATTTCTTGGATGGATATAACCCATTGACCGTCCCCGTTGGTACTGGGTATGCAGTTTCATTTGCAGTTTTGCCCAATCAGTTGCTTACATCATATAATTTTTTAATTTTTGTTTCTTTAGCCTTACAAAATTACAAAATAAGCCTTAGCATTCAGCTTACATTAAGTACCTATCTATTATTATATTTACCTTTAACAACATCGCCGTCTCTCTCCTCCTGCTGCGACTTGATGTCGCCGGTGTATGGGTCTTTCACGCCGTAGTTGAACGCGTACCGTGGGTACGACTGCAAATAAAACAATAAAGGTATGCTTATTCGGCTTAATTTCAGGTTCTGCCCACATCTACAACTGTGGTGAGATACTTTTTAGGATAATTGCAATAGTTATTCTCGATCAAAAAAATTAAAACGAATGATGTCTAAAAAAATATGAGCTTTATTACTATTATGTCCGAGGTCTGTATTGCAATACGACACTCAAAACTCAATTCAATCTCTGTCAAGTGCTGTGATAGGAAGATATATTAAAAGCATAACAAATCCAAAACCTCAATCTATGCCTAACTTAAATCGAATTTAATTTAGTTTTAAGTTTATTACGCAACAGAATCTAAGTTCCTCGATAAAGTTTTCATGATTTTAAAAACATTCGTATCAAAATGAAAAGTGAGAGTTTATTTTGACTCTTTTTGCACAAAATGCATTAAATTAATTATGCTCATGTACAGGAATCGAACCTGCGACCGTTACATAATATTATATTAGTTCAGTAGGTACCCGAACCACTAGGCCTGGCCTATCTATTGATCACTGAACAAACAAAAAGCTAACACATCCTACTGACCACAGGTTCCGCAACAGCGACCGGAGCATGCACAGCAATAGGTGCGTGCAGCAGCGGCGCATGCGCATAAGGATAGTGCTGTGGCGCCGCCCACGCTGCGCTCACGCATGCTAGCACCAGAATGATCTGGAAGGAATGGAGGAGTTTGCAATGAAGACGATAGTGTTGAGGATCTGAGGTGGTATTGTGTACAATCGTAATCATTTGACAGTTCATAACGTACGATAAAGTTCATACCATATGAACTGTCAAATGATTACGATTGATTTAAATAATTCCACCTCTGATGCATTTCATGTTGTGTGCTGTCGTTGGGACTTATTGAGTTCTGATATTGTTAAATAATTATTATTATTAATTATAGGCTATATGTTATTCTGGGTTATAAACAATGATAATGTAAAGTTTCATGAAAATCCGTTCAGTACTTTTAGCGTGAAAGAGTAACAAACATCCAGACATCCACACAAACTTTCGCATTTGTAATATTAGTAAGATTATATTTTGAAAATATCTAAACTCACTCAAAGTTATTTTGATGTAAATTTTTAAACTCATGGAAATACTAACACAGATTTCGGGAAAATATTTTACTAGTGAAAATTATCTATTTCAAAACCAATACCATGCGCATTGCGCATACTTAGCGCAATTAAATTCACAGAATAATGAATGTTAATCAAGTTTTCTCTAATTATTGCCAAATTGAAAAAAAAAATTCCAGTTTTCAATTCACGATAGGTAAACTTGAAAACAGATTGATAAGATTGCTCTTAATACAACCCTAAAAGATTGTATTTCGAACTTTGTTATCTCTATCAGATATTGCGCAACTCACCTGCATGTTGCTATGCGTGTCAAGCGGCTCTCCGGGTTGCCTGCGCAAGCGCCGACGGCTTATAACGGGGGACCCCACCAAAACCTGCACTGGGTGCATCTGACGTGTGCTGCACTTGGATCTGGTGATACGCCCTTTTCTAGAATTACATTAGTTTCCTTTATTTTTATTCTCTGTTTCAGGCTCTAAGGCTTATGTACAATGTTATGTCTTATAGACTAACAACAGTGAGCTACAATAGCCCAATGATGTCGGTGTTGGATCCGTATCGAGATCTGAGGAACGTGGGTTCAAAGTTTTAACCCTGCTGCCGCTGGACTATTGTGGTTAAACCATTCGTAACACGTATTATCTGGCTTACAATGAGGGGTTAACAGGACTATAAGTAATTTGTACAGTGGCGATGTTTAGATACTACTCGTATTGTAATATGTTGCTCAAGAAAAAAATTTAAATCAAGAAACGATTCAAGCCAAATGATGGTGAGTGGAATTTTTGATAAACTCATTCAGAATTTTCAATCCCAATTCCTGCTGGGTAAATATAATATACTCGACTAAAGCCCTTTAACTATTGTATTGCGGTATTATTCACCAGATCATATTAGAAAACAGCACTTGGATACAATTTGATTTGCAGAGCCAAAGAATATTGTTATTTTCTGTCTTGACAAGATAAATTGCCCATCCTGTCACATAATCAGAGGGCTCTACATAGTGGATTATTACATGAATTATGGTAATGTCTATTTAATTAAGATGAGGTAAAGCTACTGATCTCAATCTTATGGTATTTATAAATTCATATTAATANTATAATAATTGCGTACTATAATCACATGTGGCCGCAACTTTTTAACGCGACGGAAACGTTAGCCAACACCTCCCAACATACTATATTTTTTATTTCTAATAGACTGTTAAGTCATCTTAGAATCTATTATTTAATTTACGGAAGATGAATTGTTATCAAATAGTGAAAAATAAAAAATAAATCGCTTAGAGTCAGGTCTACAACAAAATGTATACTTCAACCAACATTTCTAAAACCTAAAACTGGTCCCATACTCTATGTCAGTGGCATTTTTTACACAATTGAATCAGATTTTGAGTTTTGTTATTAGTCCAGTAGAATTAGCTTTTAAATCGGAAATAATTCCTACAAAAGATTTTATTGTTTTAATGGCTTCATTGGTTGCCCATTAAGACTCTCCTAAGTTTTCGACTTCGGCGGAGTTGTGCTTAAGTGGTGGGGCCCCCGAAAGAGGCATTTTTTCGGTTTTCCGGTTATACCGCGTAAAAGTCTTACCCTATCAAAAAGTGGTCTTCAAGACGGTTGAAGGGCACTTAATCCTGCATTGAATAAGACCAAATTCATATGTTTTGGATAAAACGTTCTCGCGCTAAAGTTCGGCAAAGTAGAAAATATACGTATAATTAATGACCCTCTCCACGTCCAATGGTTTGTTACACACAGGCTTCCAAGTCTTGAAAAGGGCCACCTCAACCAGTGTAACCCTATCAAGGCTTACGAGCTTGATGCGCCTATCCTTGTTCGTCCCAGCCGTTCCTTAACTGCGGTTGCTGCACCTCTTCCTGGCACTCACCTGAACGACTCTGTGTTACCTACTGTGGCTGCCCCTCTTCCTTGTATCCTCCTGCATGACTACGTTGCCTAGCCGTATGCCTGGTCTAAGGTTCGACGCCAAAAATCAACAACAACAAGTTCATATTAAAACGCTGAAGAGTTTTTTGTTTGTTTGTTTGAACGCGCTAATCTTAAGAATTACTAGTTTGATTGAAATCATTATTTTTGTGTTGAATAGCTCATACATTGAGGAAGGCTATAGGATATATATAATCACTCTACGATTAATAGAGGCGAAGCAGTAAAGAAAAATGTTGCAAGCACGGGAAATAGTATTTAAGCTATTTTCACTCGTACGAAGTTGATTTTATGGCGTCGAACCTTGGACCAGGCATATGGCTAAGCAATGAAATCGTACAGGAGGGTACAAGGAAGAGGGGCAGCCACATTAGGTAACACAGAGTCGTTCAGGAGAATGCCAGGAAGAGGTGCAGCAACCGCAGTTAAGGAACGGCTGGGACGAACAAGGATAAGCGAATCAAACTCGTGAGCCTTGTTAGGGTTACACTGGTTAAGGCGACCCTTTACAAAGCTTGGAAGCATGTGGGTATCAAGCTATTGGACGTGGAGAGGGTCATTAATTATACGTATATTTTCTACTTTGCCGAACTTTAGCGAGAGAACGGTTTGTCCAAAACATATGAATTTGGTCTTTTTGAATGCAGGATTAAGTGCCCTTTAACCGTCAAAAAGACCACTTTTCGATAGGGTAAGTCCTTTACGCGGTATAACCGGAAAACCGAAAAAACGCCCCTTTCGGGGGCCCCCACCATTTAAGCACAACTCCGTCGAAGTCGAAAACTTAGGAGAGTCTTAATGGGCAACCAATGAAGCCATTAAAGCAAAAAAATCTTTTGTAGGAATTATTTCCGATTTAATCAATTTTTGTGTTTAATTCTACTGGCCTATATCGCATAAATATCGCAAGCGTCTCATATTGGCATCGATCTCCAAAATAGACTAGCAGTCAATGGACTACAAGCCACAAACGTGTATCCTAACAAAACACAAACAGATCTGACCGCTGCTAAATCGGTGAGGATATTGCAGAACCCGCGTCTTTGCCGACATAAATCAGTCATCGGGACATGGCACAGTATAGAGTGTACTGTACACGTACAGTACTGTACAGCTAGTTCCTGTGTACGATCTGTATCGAGTTGTTCATTATTTTAAATCTGAACTTATACTTTTTTGCAACAGAACCTTTTTGGGTTAAGTCTAAGAATTTTTGTTTAAGGTTGAGTTGCACCACCTTATTTTAACAGTGACTATAACCATAACCGGTGTTTTTTTGTATGAAGTCTAACAGATTTTTGACGTTTGTTAAAGCTAAAGTAAGATGGCGAAACCCAGCCTATTTAACGTCATTTCAGAAGCGTCTCCTTTAATTGGATCAAAATCACGAAAGGTTGCTCAAAGGGCTGGTATACTCAGAAAGTGTCAGTTCAGTTAATTGCTGTCTGATACGTAACTAACGGGTAATGTGTGTTCTACATATTATGTCAACAAATTCATCTAACCTGTATTGAAGGGAAAAATTAAGAAAATCATCACTTAGATTCTGATAAGATCTTTAACAAAATAAATAGGTAAAAACGAAATAACCTAATAAAAAGAGATAATAAAAGAGGCGATTAAGTGGTCAGTCTAAAAACACAATTGAAAAATATTTTTGGATACTCATAAAACAAAATCACATCTTTCGTAACAAACTTAATGAGTGACCGACCACCGCTTTGTGGTATTTTGTCAAAAAACCTAATTAAATTCAGCATAAACTTCAGTAGAGCCATAAAACCTTTGCAACGTAATAGTAAAACGTTTAGTTATTTAGAACAACATTCTAGCGACAGTGTTACTACTTTTCAATTCTACGAGTAGCTGACAACGGATGTAGTGGCTCGGTGATAGAGTAACAGTTTTAAATATAAAAAAAATCTGAAAATGAAAGGTACATAGTAAAAAAGTAACGAATAATTCACCTTAAATGTTGAGTAGGCTCTAAAGGCGAAATAAACGGTTTAAAGATTCTGATATTGGTTTTTAAAACCGATCTAATACATTTTTTAATTATCATAGCGAATCTATTGTCTGTAATTTTCTGAAATTAAAATTTTAATTGGTAAATCAATAGTTTTTCTTATCTGTTGTTTAGTATTAGTAGAAGTTAATTAAATGCCTCTGAATTCCAGCGCAAAAAACGGCCTATTTGAAACATAACTCTAAAACAAAGTCTGGACCATGTCCGAACATTCCTATCATTTCAAAATCACTAAACTGCTTTAGTTTCTTAAACAGTCACCCACATAAGACTATTTTCATTGCAAAATAGCTCTTGTTACAACTAAATAAAGATTCAGCTTTTAGCTTGACATGCCGTCACCTGTATGCATTCGAGACACCTGGTGCAATCTAGAGGCTTCCGGCGACTGGGACCGCAATTAACTAGGACCGCGGTCCCAGTCGCCGGATCCATAAAAAAATAATAATTTTCTTCCGGCGACTGGGACCACTCATAGATAACCTTAAAGAAAATATTATTCAATCCAAAATCGGTACAGTACTAAAATCCATGAGTGGTCCCAGTCGCCGTAAGAAAATTATTTAACGGGCTGTAATTTATAAACCGAATCCTATTTTGTACACGATGTTGTTATAGATGAGATTTATATGTAGATATTTGTTTTGATCAAGGGTATTCGAATTTCCATTTTGGCACTTTACTATTTCCCTTTTCATTAATTACTAGAAACATACTCCTTTCTTAATCGGCATTTATATCACACCATTATTTTCATGATCACAGTTTCAGTAAGTTTCCGTAATAGAGACACTTTGATTTCTTCTTTCATCCCTCACATTGTTTGTATTAATAGGATTTTTTGTCTTATAGGTACAATCTATTATATAAAAATGAATTCAACAAACAAACTTTTTTGCTCAAAATATTTTTATAGATAGATTATGTTTTTAAGATGCGTTACTTAACAAACACCATAAAAGTGTGAAAGTTTTCTCAAGAATTATTCTGTCATTGATTTTCTTTCATTATTTTTCACACAATTTGATTACGAAATTTAAAGCTAAAGGCACACGAGTATTTGAAATTATCGGCCTATATTTATCAGAGTTGTACGCAGGCTTTTTTACCTTTTCAACCGACTTCATAAAAGGAGGAGGTTATCAATTCGACCCGTATGTTTTTTTTTTCTATGTTTGTTACGCGATAACTCCGCCAATTATGAACCGATTTGAACAAATCTTTTTTCGGCGTATAGGTAATACCTCAAGGGTGGTCCCATTTAAATTTAATAATAGAAAAAATAATCCCCAAGGGTGGAAAATTGGGGATGAACTTTTTTATACGCAATATCTCCGCCGATTATAAATCAATTTGAACGATTATTTTTTTGTTGAATAGGTATTATCAAAAGGGTAGTTTCATGCGAATTTGAAGAAAATATTTCACCCCCAAGGGTGGAAAATTGGGGTTGAACTTTTTTATACGCAATATTTTTAATTTTTAGTTTTTTTTGTGTTCACGCATTTGAAGTCGGTTTTATTTTTTTTTAAAGTTAATTATTTCACCTAGTATAACATTTAAACGTAAGAAATATTTATTAGGTATTTTATAATCCATAAAGATTTAATCTTTGTTTCTGTAATCATACTGAAAAAAAAATATCAACATCTTATTTAATGCATTATTAATATTTTCAGTAGTCAATTAGTGGCGTCATAATTAGATATTATTAGAAACAACTACAGTACACCACAATGTAAGCAAAGCTTTATTTACTGAACATAAAAATAATTATGGGTTCAGTACCTATTATGTCACTTCTTAGAACTGTTTCATTTTTATAGTAACAAAAAATTAAGCACTAACTGAATATCTAGGCGATACGAGTCGTAAAATGCTAGATATCTCGTAACACCATAAAAACCACTGAATAGAAATATTTTCCAATCAAATTAATTATGTTTTTCAAGGTACGAGTACATTTTAAGGCTCTATGTTCATAAATCCATATAGAGATTAAACGATTGTGGATTTAAAAGGAATAGAATTGGCCACTTAATTATAAGGTTGTTGAAGATGGTTGATAATAATTATCATGGCCAAATATCTCGGTAATTGTAGGCGTTTATACAAAACTAGAACTTTTTCGTGGTGCCGCTGTTTACTTACCTATTTTATTTAAACGGCATAAGTAATAACTAATAACTTTTCCTTATTAAAAGTTTAAAACAGCGAAACTACTTTTTTACTGATCCTATGTTTTTAATACTGTGCCTGTGGTTTATGAAGAATGCACACATGTCACTTTGGAGAAAGGGATTAGATCAGAAAACACATAAGTGATATTATTTATTTATGAACCTCTAACTACCTATATTTTGAACTGATGCTATCCAGCCCCTCAGGCAACGCCCTTATTCACAAACTTGCTTACTTAAGTGAAGCAGCAAATCGAACGCACAGTGTAGAATAGAGCTGTACGTGTATGTGGTCATAGTAGTGTTTGTGAATACAGGAGTTAATTACGTTTAGTGTGTAGTTAAGATGTTCAATCTGTTACACCATTTCGGTGTTAAAACTTGTCACGAATATTTACCTTGTCTAAAGAGGCAACAATGTTTCCATCCCTATATTGTGTCCGTACAAAATTACGTAAATTATGAAACGTTTCTCATAGGACTAGGTATAAGCTGTGGTATAAGTACAAAAGGTCACCGTCCATCTCGTAAAGAAGTGAACGTCCACACCGGCCTAAAGATCACTGCGCATCCTGTCAAAGGCTATTCCAGGTCATTGGATTATATCATGTGGGACGCAAAATAACCTTATAGATACAGAGTTAGTTAATTAATGTAGTTTACATTTTTATTATTTTGCTTATTATCCTTTAGGATAAAATAATCTTTCATTTTTATCACAGTCAAATTGATAGGTATTATCTTTCCTCTCTTACCTATACAATGTAGGTGCCTTTACCAGGCCTGTTCATCTCCGCGAGTTTACATTGAATACAAAACACGCACGATGGCCCACCTACAGGATACTATCCGACAAGGCCTCACATACGAGCGAACATTGACTCACGCACGCGTATTCTTGTGTATGATGGAAGAAAGTAAAGAAAATGGTGTTACTAAATACTGTGCAGTATTTAACTGCCTAAATAATAATAAAAACACAGAATGTACTTTTTTAAGTTGCCTCAAGACACTGAGAGGTAAATAAGTCGTTAATATTATTCATGATAATTCATGCTAAATCATGTATTTCCTCCGCCATTTTTCGCAGTTTGGCACCTCACGTCACATCATTTTACCGAAGTCAGCCCTATAGCTTCGGCGCACTGCGCGCAGTGCCGATCACTGACGTTTGTCAACAAAATGGTGCTTGACTCTTGAGACAGGCTAAATTACACCATATTGTTAATGACATTGAGCATAATTTTTTTTAAATACCTTCGCGAAGTAAAACTTCTGTACGTAGTACTTATACGTAGTACTTTTAATTATTCTGTGCCTCTACCATTAGGAGGGTAGTAGTAGAGTACTATTATTTTTATGATTTTCATGACATAGCTATTATTATGTAGTTAATAATAATTGATAGTTTTCAATTTATTCCGTTTCACATTCAAGGATTATCTACTGGGTTATGATTAATGAACTATGAGGGTAAGGTTAAGGTTGACAAAACGACGTATGAGGATTCTTGAGAATAACATAGTTATGTACTTAGATATGGCTATAATTAAGATCTAATAAAAATATAAGTGTGTATAATTCAAAATTAAATATGTTAGGTATGTATAGTTAGCATAACACACAAACAAATTAGTTTTATTTAACTTTGAATCAACACCAGCAATTTGTATGACCCTTGTCTATTGAACAAAGATTGGCAAACATGACCATTCTTCGGTATTCCCGATGAAAACCGTGTGATCGTGTTTGAACCTACTCGTATCACAATGGATGTGAAAATTAAACAATAGACTACACATCCATGTAAATTGATTTAAAATTACGGTATACAAGCTAAAGGTGTTTGAGGAAGCTAATATTATGAAGGCAGTAAAGACAACTGAAGATCTATGACTCCCAGTATAAAAGCTCTCTTGCTCATCACACTTCATTCAATTCACTCTTCAGAATTTATTATAAAATGTTTTTTAGAAATTACAGATAACGCTACTTGATGAAAAACCTTTAAATATCGTACAGACGACGACAGTAAATTAAGCTAAATAGTAATTAAATACCGTGGTCTCTTACGTAGTTTTAAGAAAGGCGATTTTTTCAAAGAAAATGTATTGTATAGTAGAAAACTATGTCAGATCTTTGACGACAGACGCGGAACCGTCCAGTTAAGATAGAACAATGAGGAACCTGTTACTCGATATTATGTCATGGTAAGCGCAACCCGTTTCGATTCCAGTTATTACTGCAGCCAGCCAGTCTGTTAGAGGCACTAAAATACCAACATAAGAATCTTGGGATGGTCATCAAAGTGTCGACGTCATTGATAGAAAGATGAATCGAGAACTTCCCGACTGTCACTTGTTTTTCGAACGTCGTGATTGTCACTTGTCTTTCCTATATTGATTTTTCTCCGAGCTACAACTAGTGTTGACGATTATCGCTTGTTTTTCCGATGGCACTTGTTTATCTAAAGGTCGCCGTGGTTTTATTTCATGCTAGATTATACACCAGTGAATTTGGTCTTGGTGATTGTGACCAAGAACTGACAACCAAGAAAATTCTTGGAAAGTTCCAAGAATCGGTCCTGCTTTTAATAGAGGTATTAAGCATCTAGTTCTGTTAGTCATGTCATACCTATATTGCCTATTTTTACCATTTCTCTGCAACATCAATATGTGAGCTGGCCGTCGATCTGACGTTGATTGCCGTGTGACCTGTTTTAGAGATTTATTGGACAGTGATTTGCTTCAACTGGTGTAAAGTTTCTGTTTCCGAAGAAATGGAGTTTTAATCTATTTTTGCTCTGAGAAAACAAAGATTGGAAATGAGATGTTTATGTTGCTATTCTTTTCGATGATGAATATAGCGTAAACAATTCATTCACGCAGATGTTGGCTATTTATATGGAATANTTATCCTTTATATAATCATCAACTTTATAGTAGCCCTTTTTCATTAAGGTGCTTTTGATATGTGCTTTAAATTTATGAATGGGCAATTCTACAACAGTTTGTGGTAATTTATTGAAAAGTTTAATATTTATGGAATATGATCATGCTACAATTTAAATGAAACGATTATACAAATACACAATAATTAATGTGGTTATTTTTACATCATAATAATAAATCTTAAATCATTGTCTGAAATAAAATAAGCTTCTTTGAAAACCGCAGACGCGTAAGCTCTACCTAATAGATTGGAGTAATCTCTGGTGATAAGCTTTCATCATGCACCGGCGAAGTTCATCCGAAAATAAACGAACAAGCCCTCAAAATAAAACAAATCCTCATCCGATTTAAGTGATTATCCAAACATCCTCCAGCAAATTACGGGAGCGAACGCACGAATACCTAAAGAGCACAAATTGGATCATCGCGGACCGGTGCGCGCGCGTCGGCATGGCGGAAAGTGCGTTAATTATTTATTTTCACCGATCTTTCGCGCTCACACCTTAGTACAAACAGACACCGCGACGGAGACACCAACTAATTCCCATAGTAAATGCCCCATGTCAGACGCCTCCTCCCCATGGATTTCGGTTGTCACGACAAGGATTCCGGCGAAGTGGAGTGCTACCTCGAAATACGTAAATACTTTTTGATTAATCCCTACCGGTTTATTGCCTATTGTTGTGGATGGTAATTGATATTTTTAGTTGGCACCGCTGTTTTTGGGTCGCGTAAACAGCTGGCTCTCCTGTCAGTAAGTTAGTTCATTATGTCAGCTGGTTCGGGATCGTTAGCAGTGCTAAACGATTGCTCTTCGGTATTAATAAAGTAAACAAGTGAGATGCCGGTTGAACTCAGATCTGTAAGCACTAGGCGCGACCACGTACCCAGTCGTGAGTAGATTAACTAAATTAAAACAAATAAATACTTAAACGTTATAATTGATTCGTTTGAACGTTTTAGATTGCGATACGGGTACTTCTTGCGCTATCACAATACAAATGCGTGAGTAATTTTTGAAAGGACTACTTTGTTGTTAAATTGTTGTAACGCTTATTAACATTATGGAACTTATAGTAGTAGTATTAGTAGTAGCCTTAAAAATTAAGCACATTTCTGCTGATTTACTGGTAAAAATAAATTTAGGAATAAATGGAGATCTTGAAGACATCAAGCTATTTAGGTACTGATATTTATTAAGTTTAAATAGTAATTTTAATCTTTGATGTTTATTTATTTTTGGGCGTTTATTTAATGTTGTTGATTATACTGACCTACATTTAGTATGAAATGTGTTATTAAACTAATAACATTAGTTAACCTTATTTGTTTTCTGTGGGTGGGAACATCGGAAAAAATATTACATGTCATTTTCTCAAAACTTATCCAATAAGCAGTCCAGGAGTAATGTGTGGATTTATCAATGCTCTAATTTGTATGAAACTTTGCACGCTTACATATTGTTCTGATTTTCAGATGATAGTAATATTAAAATATGTCATAAAACTTATGATAGAATCAGAACAAAAATGCCCATGTCAACTCTTATCTAAAAACGCTCATGCCAGCTACTTCGTGATTTCGAAGAACTTTTATTTATTAAACGTCATTATAACTTGACTTTTTTGTACCAATAGCTAATCCAGAAGCGGTGGGCTGCGTCGAGAGATTCGCCACTCTGGTGTCATTTCTGCTGGTCATCATCACATTTCCCTTCTCCCTTTTTGAGTGTTTTAAGGTAAAAACAAAAATAATGTTATTTAAACAACTTTCACCCCAAATTATACTGCAACTGTAACATTATTTTGTTTCGGTTATGATTTTCAGATAATAATAGGTATAGGTACCTATCTTTTGTAATCATATTTAAAAATCTTATTCAAGGAAAAATACATAGTCTTGAAAAATTATACTAGACTATTTTTATCAATATTTTCTTGAAAGGTGTGATTTTACAACAAAATTTAAAGACGGTTTCTTTTTCTGGTTAAAAAAAACACTTAATAACATAACAATAAAGGGGTACTTCTCATTTACACTCAAATTTGATGGTCACACAATAATAGTTCATAAACGGTATAAGTTAGAACAATAACTTTGAAATCAGATGATAAAATATCTATTTAGCTACATACAAAATAAATTTTATCGTAATAGAAGCAAAAATAATATGAAAAAATCACATGAAACGATAAAAAACGGGGTCATTTTTTGCGTTCTCATCGTGTCACACCTTAGGTTGCAATGAAACATTTGGTTACTGCATTCACAATTTTCATTCAATTTGTGTGTAGCATATACTAAAATCATCGTAATTAAATNCTTATTCTGTGATATTAGGTAATTTTATTTTGTAGGTAGTACAAGAATTCGAGCGAGCAGTGATATTCCGCCTGGGCAGGCTTCGGAAAGGAGGCGCGAGAGGGCCTGGCCTCTTCTTCGTGCTCCCATGTATAGACACCTACAGAAAAGTAGACCTCAGGACCGTCTCCTTCGACGTGCCACCCCAAGAGGTAAGTACTGGAACTGACAACGAAATAAGCACCTAGCTAGTAGATAAGAAAATCATGGTCGTTGCATTCGTTGACTAATGAGCTCTTCTCATTATAATTACTTGCACTACCATGAATAATGACAAAACATAGTGTACATTTTTAATAATTATTTATATCGCTTTTAATAAAAATATGTATGTTTTTTAATAATGGCTACAACAAAGACTATGTACCTATACTACTTTTGAAGTGTACATACTAACACATGCCTACTAACTAAAATAACATTTCCTTACAATTTGTGTAAAAAATAATTCAATGTCTTATACTCCAACAAACTTTATATTTGCAACAAAATAAACCCTTAAAAAATTATGGAGTGGCTACAATCCAAGACCTTGCAAATTCGCTTACAAAATAAATTCGTTTAATGAGTTCATCCAAGTTCGGATTTTAAAAATTACCCCACAGGATACCACCTAAAATACGCAGACACATAAACACCGATCGCCGACACGTGGCTGCAACAAAACACACCAATTGCTGTATAATGGTGGTATTGAAAACAGTTAACCCAGATGTACAGCATTCATTGCCTCGATTAGTTGATGACCTGCGATCATTCAAAGTTTACTGCATGTAAAACAATGGAGAATCGGTAACCGATTGTCTGGGCGGTTTAGTAGCGTTCCCTTTATAACAAAACTGAAATGATTTCAAATCGAGAGATACTCATAAACATAAATGATAATGATAGGTATATCAATCCATTTAAAAGCACTCCGATCCAAATCAAACAAGATAAAAGCCAACATGAAAGGACGTATCAATCTAAGATAAATCGGCCTGCAATTGCTGACCGTACTTATTATCATTAATAAATTGTGGATTGGATTAACCTTTTATACTAATTCAATTAACTTGATTGATGACTTTGTTAACAATTACAAAACCAGTCGGTAATAACTATTATGTCAATCTTGTTCCCATCTTCGTGAAGTGTAACGAAGTCATTAGTGATATAGAACTAAGTAAGTAAGGTGCGTTATAAAGTAGGATATGACATTTAATTACGCTAAAGATTTATTATTTTATCAGCCTTCAATGTGCTGAGATGATACTCTAAATTCGATTACAACCGATGGAATGGGAGTGGGCGAACAAAATTAATGAAGTAATGAGAACATATTGTAGTCAATAACATCTTAATTTACAGTAACAAACTAAGAATTCTTAAAAATAAGATGTAAAAATACCATCGGTTTCTAATAAGGAACTTGATTATAAACATGAAAATAGTGCTGTTTGAGAATCGGACAAATTAGTTATCACATAATGTAACAGTCGAAGTAGTAAATAAATGGTCAATATCATAATTCGAAGTGAAAAGGGGTTTATTTTGAAATGTCGAATACTGACCGCTCGAGAACAGACAGCTCGCAGAGCTGACCTCAATTTTGTGGTAAATTCCGCGCGTGCGCAACTCGCTTGATTGGCTCTGACAGTGAGATGCAAAGAATTCGATTGATTTTGGAGTAGGATGTTAATATTTACTCGATCAGATTCCATTTGTCGGAAATAAATGTTATATTGGTATTTGATCGTTGGTTGTCTTACATAATTATGTAAGTTACACGTTAATCATGCAATTCGTAAGTTCATCGGCAATAACATTGGACGCAAAGTGACACAGCCATCACCTTCAGTTCAGAAGAATGAAGAAGTTTAGAACTTACAGCGAAATTGGTTCTAATTTGTTACTAAGTATTGAGGTATTGATCGATTAAATCACCTCAGATCATAGAAAAATTACTAGTGTACCTAATGCTTAACACTATCCTACATGTAATACTTACCAACTACTGGCTATTTATTAGTGATCATTAGATGTTTTTACAGCTTCAAATCAATCGTAGATGTCACCTAGTCACCAAGAGAACGGTGGCGGTGACACCATACTTCCCACGACATTTGAACTTGCCAAATGTCATACACTCGCACCGTGCTCCATCCATCTTTGGGCAGGGCTGGTACACTACTCTACGCACGAGGCACGAGGTCTACGCTTGGAATTGGTTGAAATATGTGGAACAAGCCTTGTTTTCCAAGAATGGCGGCACTTTCCTCTCTAGTCAGTGAATGTCTCAATTATTGCAATAGCAATAAGTTGTCTGCTCTCTACAATGTAATATGTACCAAAAATAAAACTTCAAACTGCTATTATTAAGAACTTCAAAGTAATACTAATGGTTTAAAATTAGATAGATTTTGAAGATGCACTATAAGTAATTTGAATTGACAATGTTACTTTTTGATAGTTGGTAATTTGGTATTACATAGTAAACTAATAAAGTTATGTGCTTAATCATTATATGTATTTATGTTGAGTAGTTAACATGCTTGTGTATGACTGTTAAATGACCATGAAACATTGGTTCACAGGTGCTGACGAGGGATTCAGTGACAGTAGCTGTAGATGCCGTCGTGTACTACAGAATCAAGGAGCCCCTGAATGCAGTAGTGCGGGTGGCAGACTATAGGTAATATACAATAGCATTTACCTCCCTAATCGTAAAACTTTGTGTTAATCATATTATTTGACCGAAATTTTAAAAATCAAAGTATGATAAACAATCAAATCAATTCTAAAAGTACAGGTGATTTGATTTGATTACTACAATAAAAACACTCGACCACAAACAGACAGCAAGATATCAAGTCGGCTGTAATTTGGAACAATCCGAATGCACCCACGGCACATCGAGGTGCATTTTCGCAAATGCATATTTTATTACTCAGCGTTTGATGAATATACGCCATTTGTAAACAAATGAGATGATACGAAGCAGAAATTATGTTTATGTGCGTTTAATTTTAGATGACATCCCTGCAGATGTACTGTGGCTATCAATAGCACATTATTTTATGCTAAATTCACCTTTAATATGTAAAGATTAACTAGTGCATCGATTCGAGACACCAAACTCACATCGATTACAAAACGCTAGTGGACTATTCAGTCATATTTAAATTCTTTATTATTATGCTGAGTTAAGACCTTTTCATGACACTTAATTCACGTCCCAAGTAAGTATAGTGTCAATTATTACATTGGTTTAGCACTACGAACCAATCAGTGATCACTATTATTTCGCAAACATACTTGCTAATTTATGTTTCGAAGTACGAGTATCTGAAAATTTTATTTTACAGTTAATTAAACACTAATTAGATACTTAGGCTTTCAAGGCTAAGATGAAGTGCTTATAAAATTTGTTCCTTGGAATCATTGGTTAATGGTATACCTAATCCAGTAAGCCGACTTTAGTCAAAATATTTTTTAAATTGTTCCGTTAGAGGTAATTTCAGCTGCTGAAATTAAATAAAAGAAAGTAAATAACTAGGTAATATGAAGCAGGTCAGGTATCGATATAATTCATAAAGGCTGCTTTAAACTGTCTGATAAGAAAACCACTATTGTACGTTCCAGTGCATCTACCAGGCTCCTGGCTGCGACGACTCTTCGCAACGTGTTGGGTATGCGAGACCTGGCACAGCTGTTGTCGGATCGGGAGGCCATCAGCCACATGATGCAGGCCAACTTGGATGAGGCCACTGACCCGTGGGGAGTTGAAGTCGAAAGAGTTGAGATGTAAGTCGTCCTAGTATATGATATTATGTAAAATTCTTGAGCTACATCTCAGTCCTAGTATTATAAGTTCTTGGCCTGCATTAATTTCACCTGATGGTAAGTGATGATCAGTTTGAAGGTGGAAGCGAGCTTCACCCGGAATCCTTAAGAAAAGAGAAACTGGCTATCTTACCTCAAAGTTAATTCAGAACTGGCTTATTAACCCAAAGTTGTCCAACGTTATTTGTAACAAACAATAATTTTCTCGACCTTTTTTAACTTTTATGTTGTGTGGACTATTGCTAAACTGAAAGCTGATAGTTTAGTTTTTGTGTTACACTTAGTAATAAGTCATAATCAAATCAAAAATTCCTTTCAGAAAAGATGTCCGGCTACCAGTTCAACTTCAAAGAGCCATGGCAGCTGAGGCCGAGGCCGACCGCGAGGCCCGGGCCAAGATCATAGCAGCTGAAGGAGAGATCAAGGCTTCAAAGGCCTTAAGAGAAGCATCTCTGGTCATGATTGACAACCCTATGGCTTTGCAGGTAGTTATCAGTAATGAAGATGAGAAACATAGTTTCACAAAAAGAGCCTTTAAATTCCTAAACATTAATTTATAGGTTTATCATAGCTCACGACTAAAAACAAACAAACGATTAAAAATATTTCATAAAAGTTTAATAAAAAAAACACTCATCCCATGAGTGTGTGAATTCCGTGGGGAGATCCCATTGTTTGTGTCCGTAATATTATAACTAAAATTTTAAGTTCAGTTAACTAAAATCTAGATGAAAATTCTGCTAACGTCAAATAAACTGGTATTCTTTTGATTTCCAGTTACGTTACCTACAGTCGCTCAACACGATATCAGCCGAGAAGAACTCCACCATAATATTTCCGTTTCCGATGGACTTCCTCAAAACGTTCTTGGGTGGTGGCGCCGGCCCAAGCACCTCGCATGCTCTACCGATTTAATTTATTTCAATTAATTTTAGAAATAGTAAAAAAAGTTCAACACAATATGTTTTGCAATATTTTTTTCCTTAATTTAATTTATTATAGATTGTTTAGAAATAAAACATAGAAGTGGACAGATTTTGGAAAAAAATATCGGTTTTTCCGTGATATTGGCGAATCGAGTTTTCCAAAATCCAAGTCATTTTCATAAAAAAGAAGAACAATATGACTTACCTTGTCATTCGTCTCAAAATTTTTGTAATGTAAACAACACAAGTAAACAACGGATAAATCTTTCGCATATTATTTATTACAGTTAACTATTAATGTATCTATGTATATTTTTTTATCTAAAGGAAACCACACTTTACAAACATGAAAAATGAAAGTGAAAGAGGTACATAAATACAGCTTTTTACACTTAGTTTTTACATCAATAAAAGCTCATAATCCAAGGTTTTTCGTTGCAGAAAATATCAATAAAATATCACGGAAAGAACGAATATTTTTTATATTTTTCACGATAGTGGTTTTTGTATTCCCAGTTGTCCTGTTATTTTGCTTCAGGGTAAGTTCACCACCAGACTATTTTCATAGCAGACTAAAATAGGATCACTCCCACTCTTTTCATTGATGCCGTAAAAAGCAACTTAAGGTACAAAATATGCTAACATCAGTCTCTCCAGAGTGTAAATTCCAACATCGTGGGCCATCCTGCATTTGCCTCTGACAAAGGCTGTGAATTAGTCCTGCAATGTAGATTAAATGACGTATAGTTCTAAAATACTGGACTGACCTGTCCGGTGGCGTGTGGGGCGCCACCGTCTATACCGGATCGCTGGTTCAGATTTTTGCCATGTTGGAAACCATATAGTTGAACGATGGTAGCGCCCCCCTGTCATTGAGTTTGGTGGGACAGTTCAGCGTGGGTCATCTATAATCACCAATATTCCTCTTTGACGTTCCAGGTCGTTAAACAGTATCAAAGAGCAATTGTTCTCCGGTTCGGTAGAGTGAGAACGGACTCGCCGGCCGGACCAGGCATAATATGGGTGTTACCACTCACAGACAGTTCAATTCTTATTGACCTCCGAACGCAGTCCTTCAATTTACCTTCTCAAGAGGTTACTCCCTTTTGTAATTAAGTTTTGTCCCTATTGATTTCAGAGTCAAGATTTCACTTGACCTCAGAGACGTCAACATGTAAAATTGATTATTATTTTATTGATTGCAGGTCCTTACAAGAGATTCTGTGACAGTAATTGTGGACGCTGTTGTTTATTTCCACATTCAGAAGCCGTTGCATTGTTTTCTCAATGTTCAAAAACACTCGTAAATATTTTTTCTATTTAATATTTCAAGAAACTAAAGAATATGTTTTTTCTGAAAGCCTGATGATAAAATGCAATGCAAACATTTCTCAGCCAGGTCCCATTCTAGCGCTTATCCAATATTAATTCATCATGGTATTACAATACCTACAGTAGTGTATTATTATTTACTAGCTGACCCGGCGAACTTTGTTCCGCCTTAATGGCAATAAATAAGCAGACTTTTTTTTTAATTTCTAACGGGATAAAAAGTATCCTATGTCCTTCTCCTGGCTCTAAACTACCTCCCTGACAATTTTCAGCTAAATCGGTTCAGCCGTTCTTGAGTTATAAGTGGAGTAACTAACACGACTTTCTTTTATATATATAGTTTATATTTGTAATTTTCTAGCGCATAGTAATAGCATAGTTTTTTTTTATTTGCTCTAGCCAAGCGACAAAACTTATATCGGTCTCTACCCTCCGAAACATCCTCGGGCAGCACACTTTGTCTGAGCTGTTGTCGGATCGAGTGAAAATCAGCCATTCAGCCAGAAGTGAAATAGATAAAATTACTAACGAATGGGGCGTCGAAATGGAGAGAGTGGATATGTGAGTAAATATTTAGAATCATAATTATTTCAGCCTATAGGTGGGCACTGGCAGTCCACAGTTAAATGTAAGCAAACGTTTATGTAATCGTATAATGATACAAATGTTCATACATCCTAAAATATTGATCATCACCCAAAAAAGTATGTAAAGCCCTATAGAGCAGCGGTTCCCGAATGGTGGTCCGCGGAACCCTGGGGTTCCGTGGAAAGGCTGCAAGGGTTCCGTAAAAAATATTATCCCGCGTTTCGTGACCGACGTTGTTCGCTCGCACTGACTTGTACCCACAAGGGAGAGGCAGGGCGTGCGGGCGGAGTAGTACGGGGGTTCCGCTAGGAAAAGTATAATCAATTAGGGTTTCTTGGCAAAAAAAATTGGGAAACCCTGCTATAGAGCATAATAATAAAATATGTAGAGTAGAGAAATGCAGACCATGGAATGTCCAACTCCAATCCGTGACCAAATTTTTTTTTACTATTTAGAAAAGACGTAATCCTACCGTTTGAACTACAAAAAGCTATGGCAGCTGAGGCTGAAGGAACTAGAGTTGGCAAGGCCAAGGTCATCGAAGCCGAGGGAGAAATCAAAGCAGCAGAAAACCTTCGAGAGGCATCAAGAATCATGATGGAGAACCCACAGACGATGCTCGTAATAACATTTCACTAAGTTTTTGTAGATTATTTTCTCGTATACTTTATTAAATGAAAACCATTTCCATTTCAGCTTAGATATTTACAAACATTAAGTTTTATAGCCGGACAACAAAAAACTTCGATTGTTTTTCCATTTCCATTGGAACTGCCCGAACCAGAAAGTATGAAAAATGCACGCAGGCCAACAGTTTAACACTATCAAGGACCATTTGATATCTTTAGAAAAAGTTAATTTATAGTGGTTCAATCAATTACTTAAATGTGAGTAAAATTAAACTCAGCTTATCACCAACAATCACCAAAACCATGATAGAAACTTGGCTGACCTATTTATTTATTTCATTATGGAATAATAAAGACCTTCTTGGTACCAATTACCAAGAAACAAACACCTGAAAAAATAAACTGTCTAACTTTTGCGAGCATTGATTTTGACATGCTCCTGTTTGATTATTTTTTTTGTACAAATTCCTCTAAATCCCTGTGACCATGACACCCTGTGACAATGGTGCCCTTGTCAGATATGCAGATGAAACAAATAAACCATCCGTTATTAAAGACAATGATAGACTAGGAAGTTTTCAGAGAACCCCATGTGCACCCCCACAGAAAGGTTAGCTATCTAAGTATACTTACGAGCAAAAGTATGGAATCACCTTCTTGTGTTTCTACGTACCAGCGATTTGAAGAACTCAATGATTTTCTATGCACCTATGGTATCAAGTTAAAGTTTGTTGTAACCTTTAAACTGGTACTATTTTTCATTTAATCTTCATAGTCATTTAGCTACAAATATTACTCAAAACGAATGGGGTGTTTCCATACTTTTGCTCGCGAGTGTAGTTCAGTTTTCATCTTTTACTGTTTGTAATTATTATTGCTCACAATATTTCACAATTTAATTCAATTTCCAGGTGATACCTTCGTTGAAAAATGCCTGGTGCTCTTTTCAATTCTAATGGTTATCATAACTTTTCCGATATCAATGCTTTGTGTATTCGTGGTTAGTCAACCTACTCTAAAGTTCTTTATGTATACGATGTTATATTTCCATGTAAATGGCGCTGGATTAGCTTATTTCATTAACAAAATTCGATCAAAAATTTCTACTTGCTCTATTGCGGCCTGATTGCGAACGTGTTTACACGTGAAGGAGTCCTAAGGTTTGTCACCTCATCTCCACCATGGACCAATACATTTGAGTAGGTAAGTACAGTTAACAGCACATCAACCAAGTTAAACACCGTGGCAAGCTTGGCAAGTCATTTAGTTGTAAGAAGTGCTATTGAAATAAAAGTGTAAATATACTAACATATCGACTCTACTTTTTCTCCTCTCGATTCTAACCCCTCCTGTTAAACCTGGTAGGATCTGCTGAGTTGTTAGTATACGAGTTTAAGGTGATGTCAAGAAGATTGTTGATATGGATTGTAAAATTGCAGGTTGTCCGTCACTTCGAAAGAATAATAATATTACGGAATGGAAAAATATACAAGAATCGTGCCTTTGGACCCGGCCTCGTGTACTTCTTGCCTTGTGTTGACACAGTGAAATATATTGACCTGCGAATTGCTTGTTACGTTGTGCCTCCTCAAGAAGCTCTGACGAAGGATTCCTTGACAGTTTCTGTTGATGCTGTAGTCTATTATAAAGTTATCGACCCAATACCAGCTGTGATTAATGTTGCTGATTATAGGTAGGTAAATAAAGGCTGATTTAATAAAATTAGTAACTACTTAAACTTTTTGTTAACTGTTATATCTTAAAGATTCTACTTTGAGGTATAAAGCTTTGTATACTAATTGTGTTTCATCTGAAAGAATATCACCGGATTAATTAACAAAACCTCGAGCCCCCTTAGATTGTGAACAATAATTTAAGATTTTCTTTTTCCATGGTCATAACATAATCGTGCATGTACGCTCCCTACTTAAACTCGTAGGTAGATCGCACAATTAATTAGGTAAACTTTTCTACAGTGTATCAACACAGTTACTTGGAGCTACAGCGCTTAGGAACGCGCTGGGATCTGTGAAATTAACTGACCTACTAATAGACAGACCGGCAATAAGCAATCAGGTGCTAGAGCAAATGAAGAAGCTGACCAGTCAATGGGGAATCAAGGTCCTTCGAGTTGACATGTAAGTCCCAAGCTTTTGTAGTTACTTATGTACCCTTCTTGGCTCTAAATTCCTCTTTCATCAAATCTTCAGCGTGATACGTCTATCATATTATTGTATTTAACTGTTGATGATTTGGGATTTACTAAATAAAATAATCACTGTGTCGTGTACATCCTGTTTTACTCTCCATTATTCACAGACAATACATACCCAATCTATAGTCTATTCTCAGTAGTGTTGTCACCTTACAATAATGTTACAACGTCCACCCTCAAGGTGTAAGGTAGCAGGCCGCTAGCGCTACCAACCGATCAATTTGGAAGTCATGGAGGGAGGCCTATTTTCAACAGTGGACGACCTGTAGCTGAAATGATTATGATAATGATCACTGTATTTCTTTTATAGCAAAGATATAAGGCTGCCTCTCCAGCTGCAAAAAGCGATGGCAGCTGAAGCAGAGTCAACTCGTTTGGCTAACGCAAAAATAATTGTTGCAAAGGCTGAAATAGAAGCCACTAAAAACCTTCAGAAAGCCTCTGTGATTCTCTCAGATAACCCTTTGTCCATGCAGGTATCTTCAATATTATTATATCCTTTACCTTAAGTTAAGTCAATGTTTGTAACACAAACTTCACAATAATTATCATTAATTGCAAGTGGAACTAAAAAATATTAATTATTTCAGTTTCAATTAAAACGGATTTGTTAATCATTTCTTCATCTATTTCTTTATTTCCAGCTGAGATATTTACAATCATTGCACTTGATTGCGGGGGAGAACGCCCACACCATCGTGTTTCCATTTTCAACTGAAACTCTGCGAAAAATATTCAAATGAAGTTTTATGTAATTCCAGTGTTTTGTGAGTCGATGATTTCGGAAATAAAATTGCAAAATGATCAACTAGATTTTTATTTTTCTAAAAAACAGTACCAACGTAATAAATATTCAACATAACAACTTGTAACAACTAATTAAGTATTACTGGTATTACTTTTAGACTAGTATTCTCGAGATTCGTCGTCTTCTTGTTGTTGTTGTTTGCGTCCGTAGTGGATGGGTTGTTGCGCTTGACCGCCAGCCTTTTTGTGCACCACAGCCTGTAAATGAATGTTCATTTCATAAATAATTTTTATTAGAGGATTCATAATTAGTTAAGGGTCTGAAGCCATAAATAAGTGCACATAAACCACATCTGGCTTCAACAAGAAGTTGAACAATGTGTCTGGTCCTATAACTGGTCTTTACTCTTATTGACGACTGTACAACAACACCGCTAGAAGTCACACAAAAAATGTGGCGTTGAGAACCGTCTTTCTCTAATTTGTTTTGGTTCCAATTCAGAATGCCTACTTACCTATAATTATAGCAGCAGTTTCACGAATACTAAGATAATGATCGTCCCCACTTTTGGAATGGATTATTATTATTTTTAGTGGAAATTTTGGAACAGATTTTGGATTTAGTGGAAATATTGGACAGCACTCACCTGGAATCCATTTTTGGGGTCAGCAGTGTATTTGACTAGACGAATGGAACCGTCGGGCTCAACCAGAGAGTATTCTCCAGTGACGACGTCACCATCGCGGTGCTCCTTGTGGTTTTGGAGGTTACCGGTATGGGGATCTTCTACGCCATAAGCGTAGTGATAGTCGGGCTTCGCCTGGAGAAACACAACAATAGAAAGGACATCATCCATTTTGGTCCAAAATCAAAAGTGCCGGCCAAAAAATAAAAGTGCTGTATTCTGATCGAATACGTCCGCCTTAGCATTTATTACTATGGCACCAAAGCCGTAGCACCACTGTGCTTCGTAGTATTTGAGCTCTAAAAATATATGAAACGACTGACTTTGATCTCAAATACTACGATGCACAGTGGTGCTACAGCTTTGGTGTCATAGTAACAAATACTAAGGCAGACGTATTCTGTCAGAATACAGTACTTTTTTTTTTATTGGCCGACATTTTTGATTTTGAACAAAAAATGTATGAATCGTCGATGAATTTTAGATCTCAAATACTCGACNACTGATAATCCGTTTTTTGCTTCTTTAGCATTTCAGAATGCCACCAGTGTCACCCTTAAAACCGATTGCGTAGAATCTTGTAACTTAGTAAGTGACGTAATCGGTTAAATTTTAGCTTGTATTTAAGTAGGTACTTATTTATATTATGTTATTGCTATTTATCTATGAAAATAAGACAAAATATATGTTTTATAAATACTTAAGAGTCATTTACAGTAGTAAAGTTTGAAAAAATTATTGCTGTGAAGTACAGAATCACTTTCGTGGCATCAAAAAATTCAAAACGTTAAAGCTTCCAAACGAGACTCACTATTTGACTGATTTACTGAGAATACAATCTTCACATCAAGCGCTACAATTTTTGTTTACAAAAAGTTGAAATAAGTTAGAAATAAAATTCGCCACGAAGGTGACGATGAGAACCGTGGCGATGAGAAATAGCCAAAGACAATTTTAATTATTATGGCCGTGCGCCGTTTTTTCTAGGTTGTGCAAGTTTTTTTCTGACTCTACATTTTGCATAAATATACATCTTTTACCCTTCTTTATTCTAATAGATTCCCTATCCATTCAGGTTTAGGTAATGTTATTTTGCAGGTAGTACAAGAATTCGAGCGAGCAGTGATATTCCGCCTGGGCAGGCTTCGGAAAGGAGGCGCGAGAGGACCTGGCCTCTTCTTCGTGCTGCCATGTATCGACACCTACAGGAAAGTAGACCTCAGGACTGTCTCTTTCGACGTGCCACCTCAAGAGGTAAGTACTGGAACCACTGGAACTGACAACGAAATAAGCACCTAGCGAGTAGATAAGAAAGTAATGGTTGTTGCATTCGTTGACTAATGAGCTCTTCTCATTACAATTAGTTGGTACACTACCATGAATAATGACAAAACATAGTGTACATTTTAATAATTATAATATGAAAAATAAGTTTTTTTAATAATGGCTACAACAAAGACTATTTATACTAACTACCTTTGAAGTGTACCTACATACCTACTAATACTAACACATGCCTAACTAAATTAACATTAACTATTTGTAAAATAATTTCAATGTCTTATACTCCAACAAACTTTATATTTGCAACAAAATAAACCCTTAAAAACTAATGGAGTGGCTACAATCCAAGACCTAGCAAATTCGCTTACAAAATAAATCATTTGGATGAACTTATTAAACTTGGGTTCGGATTTTAAAAATTACCCCACACGATACCACCTAAAATACGCAGACACATAAACACCGATCGCCGACACGTGGCTGCAACAAAACACACCAATTGCTGTATAATGGTGGTATTGAAAACAGTTAACCCAGATGTACAGCATTCATTGCCTCGATTAGTTGATGACCTGCGATCATCTGGGGGCACGGCAGTGCCCCCGCCAAGTCGAGCGCGAAGCAAACACTGCCGTACCATCTTTTACTGGAACCATTTCGCCGCATTTTCAGGCCCCTATTTGAGAACCTCTGGATAAGACCAGAACGCAGAAATTTTCGTCATCTAGTTAGCTATANAAAAAATGCTAAGGCAGACGTATTCTGTCAGAATACAGCACTTTTTTTTGTTGGCCGGCACTTTTGATTTTGGACCAAAAATATATGAAACGTGGATGATGTCCTTTAGTTGTTTTGTCACAATATAAAAACGTTATAAAAATCCAGGATCAAATTAAAATCGTAAAATGAGCAGAGATTTTTTGTTTGTTCGTTTCAGCTAAATGACATCCGAAGTTTTCTGGCCCACGATCAGCTCTACGATTTTTACTCACCACATAATCAACGGTCTTCAAATGCGCGTATTTGGCAGTGTCTGGATGGATCTGACCGGAGTTATGGTCGTAACCATAGTCTGCGTGTTGCTGAGCGGGGATTCCCTGGGCAGCTGGGACTTGGACCTCGATGATTTTGCCGCTGACAGGCCCACTGAACCTGTTGTAGGAGTAGCCTCCTGACTTCACCGATACTGCTACAGTAGCTAAGGCTAGGGGAATGAGGACCTGAAATTGATATCAAACAAGATGTCAGATGAATAAAAAGTTTTTAAGATGACATCACATTAGAACACAGAACACCTTACCCGCACCCATGTGTGCAGCCTGAACGAGCACTTATTAATGGGACATTTAACCAGCTAACTATTATTAAGCTAGACAGAAGACATATTAATGTAGAAATGACTCAGAAGGCCTGATGTAGTAAGTGAACTGAGCGTCATTTCAAGATAGACTATCTAATTCGTAATATGACAAAGATCGAAGGATATACGGCTGTAAAATTAAATAGGACTCTATCTACAATAACTTTCCTTTAGCTCATTGTACAATTTGACATAGATAGTAATTGCCCAATCAATAGACACGGGCCACGACAAAAAGGCAAGTGGGGTTCGCAAGTCGTGACTAACTTCCACTGCTTCCACTGAAGCAAAAAATCAGCGACCTTCACGGTCAGATAGTACTCTCTCATTGCCTAACAGTGGCAATGAAAACAAACTTAGAAGAAAGTTTCCCGCGGAATTTTGTTTGTCACAGAGATAACAAAAACTGCAGCTCTTTACCGTGGCTCTTTTGTGTATTATGAGCTGTGACATCTAATAATGCTCGGTCTTTCGTATTGTGTGTTTGTGTATTGAATCATTTGAAGCGCGTCACTTTTTTTTTACTTTTGACGTGAATTTTTTTAGGTTCTTAGCTATTTTATTTATTTATTTATTTATTTATACTTCAATGCCAAAATTATTAACATTAGGCGAACTTAATGCCATAAGGCATTCTCATCCAGTTTACCTTTGGGTTATGCAGAAAAAATATTTTAAGTTATCTTTCCCAATGGAACGATAAGGTAAAGTCAACAGTCATTTCAGAGTAGGTAGGTATACTTAAGTACATTTTTATTGTAAAAGCGCACTTAATTAACGAGTGAAAAACTTTAAAAAAAAGTCGGCGTAAACGCTAATACTTGACGTGATATCGTCTGTAGGCACTAATCCCTTACATTTTACAGAATCCGGACTGAAACTGTAACACAAATCTAATATCAGTTCTCCTTAAACGATATTTTTAATCAATGTTTAGGTATTTCACTTGGTTCTCACTAATGTGCAATTATGGACTGGTGCGTTGGTCAATACCTACTTAATTAAGTGCTGTTGTCTTTTAATTATTTCAAATCGGCATTTGTTTTTTTAGATTCGGCAGATTGTTACACTACATTTACGTTAATTTTAAATAAATTACCTACCTAAACTTACAATAAATTATCAAGTAATTGAAAGAGGCGTTTGAAAATTTTGCTAATTAAAAATATTAAAAGTTACCTTGAATACGGAAGCCATTTCGTTTATTTTGCTACGACTGTGGTGTTCAGATATCAACCCTGGTACTGATGTTTGTCCAGCAAGTATTGTGGTTTTATACCGGCGGTTGCTTTCAATGAGCAATCGTGAACTTGCCGAGATAAGTTGCAGCAAACTATGAATCAATAATTTTCAATATTCGGCCACGCAGCCGAACATTACAATACCACATTGCGTAGGTTAATTTCAGCATTATTATTGTCTTTTCTCTGACCTTGGTGACAAGGTCTACGGGGAAATGGTGCGAGGTGCATTTCATTCCTGATGTCCTATTCCATTCATTCAACACCTGCGTACCTGAGCAAACGGCATAGCTGGGCATTAACTCGTTAATCCGTTAATCGTTAATTAACGAAGTTAACATTTCTATTAACGGATTAACTTTTAAGTTAACTTTAAAAAATGTTAACGGACTCGTTAACTTCCGTTAAATTATCCTAAGTCCGTTAATCGTTAATCCAGTACCTACATACTATTTACCAAAAAGATACAGCAGGCACGCTGAAAAACACTAGGAAAACGCGTTCTGACAAGTACGTTCGGGCTTCCAGAACTTCCAGAACCCAAATCAACAGTTTTTGTAACCAGAACGGAACGATATAGAAAATGCTATTTTTTATTTATTTACATGCTTTATATTGACTTCACTTGTTACTATGTGTGGTACCTACACATCTTGTAACTGAATTTAAGACCAGTTCTCAACCGATTGAGCTGAAATTTGGTATACTTATGTAAGTACGATGAAAATGCAATGGTACCATTAAGCTGGTCTGATGATGGAGTCAGGAGGTGGCCATAGGAACTCCTAAATGAAACGGCGGCATCGCATCGAATTTGGGTTCGTTGGATTTGTCTTTTCGAGCACTTTAGTACTAGATGAATGATGTCCAGTTAGGGTTGCCAGGTGTCCGGCTTTAGCCATGTTTGGCTTTTTACGGTCTTGTCCGGCCTGCCCGACTTTCCTTTGACCTTTTATTTGGCTGCCGCGCCAGGCGAAAGTCGAACCACAGAATAATAATAAATAGTCCGGCTTTTAGAGTGAAATGTCCGGCCAAATGAAGCACAAAGTCCGGCTTTTGTGTCTTTGGACCTGGTAACCCTATGTCCAGGGTCCTGATGATGGAGTCAGGAGGTGGCCATAGGAATTCCTAAACGAAACGGTGGAATCGACTTTGGATTTATTGGATTTGTCTTTTCGAGCACTTTGGTGCTAAATTGTATTTTAATTAAACCAAGGCTCTGAGATTGAGATAATATAGACTAAGAGCTAGTGAACGCCAGAACTAGGTACCTACGTTATTATTTAGTATACGTAGGTCTGGCGTTCATTAGCTTTTAGGCTGCAGTTAGACGATGCAAAAACTATCACGCGGCGGCCGTGTGATAGTTAAAAGATTAAAATTCTTTTGGACAACCACACCGTGCGGCGGCCGCGCGGTCGCCTCCTAGCTCTTGCACGAATTTTCTGGATGATGCGCTCACGCGCCGCGCGGCCGCCGCGCCGATCGATCTCAGTTGCTCGAGTTTTCTGGCGCGCGCCGCTCACATCGCAGTCAAGGGATTCTTTGATAAATTAATTTTAATGTTAAATGTAGTTACCGAAGAGCTTATTTTACTATAGCAGTCGACTCTTGAAAACGCGTACGCGGTGGCCACGAGGTGGTAGTACGCGGTAGCCGCGCGGCAGCTACGCGGCCTTTTGGCGTACCAAATAAAGCTATCGCCCGGCCGCCGTGCGGTCTCTCAGTATCCCACATAAACGGGCCCTACTAAAATGTGTAAAATAAAATTATATTAATAAAATACTTTTTTAAAAACAAGCTTTTATTCTGAAATTCAGTTGTTACTAAAATGAAAAAAATAATTGTGTGCAAGGTTCAAATAATTTCGAAAGCTTGTAGCGCAAACATAAAAGAGGAATAAATTCCGTACGCGATACAAGCTTTCGAAATTAAGTATTTGAACCTTGCATACAATTACTTTTTTCGTTTTATTATCATGTGTTAACGGATTAACGATTAACGTTAACTTGCGTTAAATCTTGCTAAATGTAACGTTTTAACGTTTAACGAAGTTAATTTTTTTATTAACGGTTTAACGATTAACGAAGTTAACTATTTGATTAACGGTGCCCAGCTATGGCAAACGNGGATGCGGTCTAGGATGGTACATATCTGCCCTGTAAGTGCCTATTCACTCTCGCCTTGAAAAGGCCCGGATTATAGTTTTCGGGAAAGACAGCAGCAGGCAACGAATTTCTATTCTGGTAGCGAAAAAAATAAATCATTAAAATTTAAGGGTAGGTAATCAAATGAAACAATGTATTACGAAAAATGAAATAAATTTGTATTTTCTTAAATCGAATCAACAAAAACAAAACAAAATAAAATAAGTCGCTTCTGTCAACCCAAAAAAAAGTAATCTTATTAATAAGGTTAATTGATTGGTACCTATGAGGATTGAGGAGCTCTACCTACTCATAGTCACTGTATGATACGTGCTGGCTTGGACTTAGCGGGCCGGCCTCGTTTTCTTTTTTGTCCAATAGGTATCAGTTTTGCTTACAGTGGCGGTGTTGTTAGTTTGAGCCGAATTGCTAGACCCAAAACGTGAATTCGGGACAGTCGCCCCGCCCCCATTCGAATTCGCGNCGCTTCACTCGACCATATTGGAGGGAATGTAACGAGTAATTTGAATTGACAATGTTACTTTTTGATTAGTTTGTATTAGTTAGGTACTAATAAAGTTATGCGCTTTAATCATTATGTTTATGTTGAGAAGTTAATATGATTGTGTGTATTAACTGTTAAATTACCATGCAACATTGGTTCACAGGTACTGACGAGGGATTCGGTGACAGTAGCGGTAGATGCCGTCGTGTACTACAGAATCAAGGAACCCCTGAATGCAGTAGTGCGAGTGGCAGACTATAGGTAATATACTTTACAATAGCATTTGTATCATATACTTACCTGCCTAATCGTAAAACTTTACTGTTCATCTTATTATTATTTGACCGTTTTTAACGTTAAAGTACTTCTGATAAACAATTATTTATCAATTCTATAAGTACAGGGTGATTTGATTTGATTACTACAATAAAAACACTCGACCACAAACAGACAGCATGATATCAAGTGGACTGTAATTTGGAACAATCCGAATGCAACCGTGGCACATCGAGGTGCATTTTCGCAAATGCATATTTTATTACTCAGCGTTTGATGAATACGCCATTTGTAAATGAGATGATACGAAGCAGAAATCATGTGCGTTTAATTTTAGATGACATCCCTGCAGATTTACTGTGGCTAACAATAGCACATTTATGCTAAATTCACCTTTAATATCTGAAGATTAACCAGTGCATCGATTCGACACACCAAACTCACAACGATTACTAAACGCTATTGACGATTCAGACACTTCAGACACGTCCCAAGCACTAGTAACCAAATGGTCACTAGTTCGCAAACTTACTATAAATAGCTAATTTATGTTTCAATGTACGAGTATCTGAAAACTTTATTTTACAGTTAGTTAAAAACTAATTAAGTTTTCAAGGCTAAACCAATACTCATTATTTATTATACCCAATCCAGTTACAGACTTTATTAAAATTATTTCTTTATGTTGTTCCTTTTAATTTCTGCCGCTGTAAGTAACATTAATAATGTTATGAAGAAGGTCAGATATGAATAGGTATATTCCATAAATTCTGCTTGTAACCGCCTAATAACAACATCATAAACCGTTCCAGTGCATCCACCAGACTTCTGGCTGCGACGACTCTTCGGAACGTGCTGGGCATGCGAGACCTGGCGCAGCTGTTGTCGGATCGCGAGGCCATCAGCCACATGATGCAAGCCAACTTGGATGAGGCCACTGACCCGTGGGGAGTTGAAGTCGAAAGAGTTGAGATGTAAGTCGTCCTAGTATGATAATTATGTAAAATTCTTGGCCTGCATCTCAGTTCTAGTATCATAAGTTCTTGGTCTGCATGAATTTCATCTGATGGTAAGTGATGATCAGTTTGAAGGTGGAAGCGAGCTTCACCCGAAATCCTCAACCAAAGAGAAACTGGCTATCTTACCTCAAAGTTAATTCAGAACTGGCCTATTAACCCAAAGTGGTCCAACGTTATTAAAATTTGTAACAAACAATAATTTTCTCGATCTTTTTTAACTTTTATGTTGTGTGGACTGTTGCTAAACTGAAAGCTGATAGTTTAGTTTTTGTGTTATACTTAGTAATAAGTCATAATCAAAGCAAAAATTTCTTTCAGAAAAGATGTCCGGCTACCAGTTCAACTTCAAAGGGCCATGGCAGCTGAGGCCGAGGCCGACCGCGAGGCCCGTGCCAAGATCATAGCAGCTGAAGGAGAGATCAAGGCTTCAAAGGCCTTAAGAGAAGCATCTCTGGTCATGATTGACAACCCTATGGCTTTGCAGGTAGTTATCAGTAATGAAGATGACAAACATAGTTTCACAAAAAGAGCCCTTTAAATTCCTAAACATTATTTTATAGGTATATCATAGCTCACGATTAAAAACAAACAAACGATTAAAACTGTTTCATAAAAGATCAATAAAAAACACTCATCCCATGAGTGAATTTTGTGGGGAGATCCCATTTTTTGTGTCCGTAATATTATAACTATGATTTTAAGTTCAGTTAACTAAAATCTAGATGAAAATTCTGCTAACGTCAAATAAACTGGTATTCTTTTGATTTCCAGTTACGTTACCTACAGTCGCTCAACACGATATCAGCTGAGAAGAACTCCACCATAATATTTCCGTTTCCGATGGACTTCCTCAAGACTTTCCTGGGCGGCGGCGCCGGCCCAAGCTCCTCGCATGCTTTACCTATTTAATTTGTTTTTAACAAGTTTTAGAAATAGTGAAAAAATTAAAAAACACATATCTTGCAATTGTTTTTCCTTAAACTTTCTATTAGTACCTATCTAAAAATAAAACATAGACTTGGACAAATTTTGGATACCAGGGTTTTCCCCGAATTGGCGAATCGTGTTTTCCAAAATCCAAGTCATTTTCATAAAAAAGAACAACACTTGACTTTTCTTGTCATTCTCTCGAAATTTTGGTAAAGTAAACAACACAAGTAAACAACAGATAAATCTTTCGCATATTATTTATTAAAGTTAACTACAAATGTACCTATGTTTAAATTTATCTCTACGGGAAACCACTCTATACAAACATGAAAAATGAAAGTGAAAGAGGTTAGGATACACGCTACATAAACAAAGCTTACACTTAGTTTTTACATTTTACATCAACAAAAGCTCATAATCCAAGGTTTTTCGTTGCAGAAAATATCAATAAAATATCACGGAAAGAAAGAATATTTTTTATATTTTTCACGATAGTGGTTTTTGTATTCCCAGTTGTCCTGTTATTTTGCTTTAGGGTAAGTTAACCACCAGACTATTTTCATAGTAGACTAAAAAGGATCACTCCCACTCTTTTCATGGATGTTGTAAAGGGCAACTTTTCGTACAGATATGCTAACATCAGGCCTCTCCAAACCATCTGGGTAGCAATGTGAGCAGTATAGATCAAAGCCTCCCCTGGTAAATTAGGATCGTCCTGCAATATTATCATGATTAATATACTTCTTCCTTTACTTTCTAGGTTGTTAAACAGTATCAGAGAGCAATCGTTCTCCGGTTCGGTAGAGTGAGAACGGACTCGCCGGCCGGGCCTGGCATAATATGGGTGCTGCCACTCACAGACAGTTCAATTCTTATTGACCTCCGAACTCAGTCCTTCAATTTACCTTCTCAAGAGGTTACTCCCTTTTGTAATTAAGTTTTGTCCCTATTGATTTCAGTGTCAAGATTTCACTTGACCTCAGAGACGTGAACATGTAAAAACCCATTAATTTATTGATTGCAGGTCCTTACAAGAGATTCTGTGACTGTAATTGTGGACGCTGTTGTTTATTTTCACATTCAGAAGCCGTTGCATTGTTTTCTCAATGTTCAAAAACACTCGTAAATATTTTATCTATTTAATATTTCAAGAAACTAAAGAAAATGTTTTTTCTGAAAGCCTGATGATAAAATGCAATGCAAACATTTCTCAGCCAGGTCCCATTCTAGCGCTTATCCAATATTAATTCATCATGGTATTACAATACCTGCAGTAGTGTATTATTATTTATTATATTTGTAATTTTCTAGCGCATAGTAATAGCATAGTTTTTTTTATTTGCTCTAGCCAAGCGACAAAACTTATATCGGTCTCTACCCTCCGAAACATCCTCGGGCAGCACACTTTGTCTGAGCTGTTGTCGGATCGAGTGAAAATCAGCCATTCAGCCAGAAGTGAAATAGATAAAATTACTAACGAATGGGGCGTCGAAATGGAGAGAGTGGATATGTGAGTAAATATTTAGAATCATAATTATTTCAGCCTATAGGTGGGCAGTCCACAGTTAAATGTAAGCAAACGTTTATGTAATCGTATAATGATACAAATGTTCATACATCCTAAAATATTGATCATCACCCAAGAAAGTATGTAAAGCCCTATAGAGCATAATGTGGCATAATAATATGTAGAGTAGAGAAATGCAGACCATGGAATGTCCAACTCCAATCCGTGACCAATTTTTTTTTACTATTTAGAAAAGACGTAATCCTACCGTTTGAACTGCAAAAAGCTATGGCAGCTGAGGCTGAAGGAACTAGAGTTGGCAAGGCCAAGGTCATCGAAGCCGAGGGAGAAATCAAAGCAGCAGAGAACCTTCGAGAAGCTTCCAGAATCATGATGGAGAACCCACAGACGATGCTCGTAATAACATTTTACCAAGTTTTTGTAACAATACTGATTATTTATTTCCGACGCTAATGCTGATTACTTATTAAATGAAACCCATTTCTTTCAGCTAAGATATTTACAAACATTAAGTTTTATAGCCGGACAACAAAAAACTTCGATTGTTTTTCCATTTCCACTGGAACTGCCCGAACCAGAAAGTATGAAAAATGCACGCAGACCAACAGTATAAGCACAGGTATAACTAACACTGTCAAGGACCATTTATTTTGATACCCTTATAAAAAGTTTATTCATAGTGGTTCAATCAATTAAATGTGAGTAAAATTAAACTCAGTTTATTTAGCACCAAAATCATTGTAGAAACTTGGCTGATCTACACTCGACAGCAAATAAATCGCACCACCCGCGACGCGAACTTTAAAGATTTTCTTTTGACACAATAATGGTGCCCCAACAATATTGGTGTTATTTGAAAGCCCAATAAATATCCTTAAAGAAAAACACATTTAATTTCTTAATAAATGATTAACATATACCATAAATGTGACTTGAAAAAAGACCTCACTTTGGGCTCACCTCTGGGGTCAATTAGACCAAATTTTATGGTTATAAAACCAAATAATGATCACATGTGTCCTCTTTAACAGATGGATAGCGATTAATCCCAACTTAACAGTTTTATAGCCATAAAAGTTGGCTCAAGCGTAACTATCTATTTTTTGAAGAAGTGACTCTGGATCCTTCTAAAGAAACATTTTTGGGGTAAAAACCTTTCCTTTAATGAAAAGAAGTTTAGAACTAGGCTTTTGAATGGTACCAATATTGGTGTGAAGTGGGGATGCATACGTTTGAAAGTGCTTGTCGCGGGTGGTGCGATTTATTTGCTGTCGAGTGTATATTTATTTATTTAATTAAGGACTAATAAAGACCTTCTTGGTACGAAATACCAAGAAATAAACACCTGAAAAAATAAACTGTCTAACTTTTGCGAGCATTGATTTTGACATCAGCTCCTCTTTGATTAGTTTTTTGTACAAATTCCTCTAAATCCCTGTGACCATGACACCCTGTGACAATGGTGCCCTTGTTAGATATGCAGATGAAACAAATAAACCATCCGTCATTAAAGACAATGATAGACTAGGAAGTTTTCAAAGAACCCCATGTGCACCCCCACAGAAAGGTTAGCTATCTATACTTACGAGCAAAAGTATGGAATCACCTTCTTGTGGTTCTGCGTACCAGCGTTCTGAAGAACTCAATGATTTTCTATGCACCTATGGTATCAAGTTAAAGTTTGTAATGTAACCTTTAAACTGGTACCATTTTTCATAGTCGTTTAGCTACAAAGATTACTCAAAACGAATGGGGTGATTCCATACTTTTGCTCGCGAGTGTAGTTCAGTTTTCATCTTTTACTGTTTGTAATTGCTCACAATATTTCACAATTTAATTCAATTTCCAGGTGATACCTTCGTTGAAAAATGCCTGGTGCTCTTTTCAATTCTAATGGTTATCATAACTTTTCCGATATCAATGCTTTGTGTATTCGTGGTTAGTCTACCTACTCTAAAGTTCTTTATGTATACGATGTTATATTTCCATGTAAATGGCGCTGGATTAGCTTATTTGATTAACAAAATTCGATCAACAATTGCTACCTGCTCTATTGCGGCCTGATTGCGAACGTGTTTACACGTGAAGAAGTCCTAAGGTTCTTAACCTCATCTCCACCATTGACCAATACATTTGAGTAAGTACAGTTAACAGCACATCAACCAAGTTAAATACCGTGGCAAGCTTGGCAAGTCATTTAGTTGTAAAAAGTGCTATTGAAATAAAAGTGTAAATATACTAACATATCGACTCTACTTTTTCTCCTCTCGATTCTAACCCCTCCTGTTAAACCTGGTAGGATCTGCTGAGTTGTTAGTATACGAGTCTAAGGTGTTGCCAAGACACTCATGATGATATGGATTGTAAAATTGCAGGTTGTCCGTCACTTCGAAAGAATAATAATTTTACGGAATGGAAAAATATACAAGAACCGTGCCTTTGGACCCGGCCTCGTGTACTTCCTGCCTTGTGTTGATACAGTGAAATATATTGACCTGCGAATCGCTTGTTACGTTGTGCCGCCTCAAGAGGCTCTGACGAAGGATTCCTTGACAGTTTCTGTTGATGCTGTAGTCTATTACAAAGTTATCGATCCAATACCAGCTGTGATTAATGTTGCTGATTATAGGTAGGTATATAATAATTTAAATTTGTAACTACCTAAGCTTTTTGTTAACTGTGAATCTTAAAGATTCTACTTTACGCTATAAAACTTGGTAAACTAATTGTGATTCATCAGAAACAATATCACCTGATCAATTAACAAAACCTCGAGCCCCCTTATATTGTGAACAATAATTTAAGATTTTGTTTTTCCATGGTCATAACATAATCATACATGTACGCTCCCTACTTAAACTCGTAGGTAGGTCGCTCAATTAATTAAGTAAACTTTTCTACAGCGTATCAACACAGTTACTTGGAGCTACAGCACTTAGAAACGCGCTGGGATCTGTGAAATTAACTGACCTACTAATAGACAGACCGGCAATAAGCAATCAGGTGCTAGAGCAAATGAAGAAGCTGACCAGTCAATGGGGAATCAAAGTCCTTCGAGTTGACATGTAAGTCCCAAGCTTTTGTAGTTACTTATGTACCCTTCTTGGCTCTAAATTCCTCTTTCATCAAATCTTCAGCGTGATACGTCCACCCTCAAGGTGTAAGGTAGCAGGCCGCTAGCGCTACCAACCGATCAATTTGGAAGTCATGGAGGGAGGCCTATTTTCAACAGTGGACGTCCTGTAGCTGAAATGATTATGATAATGATCACTGTATTTCTTTTATAGCAAAGATATAAGGCTGCCTCTCCAGCTGCAAAAAGCGATGGCAGCTGAAGCAGAGTCAACTCGTTTGGCTAACGCAAAAATAATTGTTGCAAAGGCTGAAATAGAAGCCACTAAAAACCTTCAGAAAGCCTCTGTGATTCTCTCAGATAACCCTTTGTCCATGC